CCTTTTACAGTCAGACTAACATCACGAAGGCACCAACGACGGCCCAGATTGGCATAAGCCACTCTATCTTTCACTATACGTGCATTGATTTCATCACTCACGCCACCACCAGCACTTATGCAGCTACCTATATACACGAACTTCTCGACTACTTCTATCTGCTCATCATCCAGGGTGAGTACAGGATTAGAATCCTACAGATCGCAGCCCCGATGCAATCAAGCATGAATTCTACCACCAGTTAACTGTTCTTCTCCAGAAAGTGCATTCGACAGATATTGTAGTACTAGTCGGAGACTTGAATGCTCAGGTCGGGCGTCTAGGCACAGAAGAGAGTCATTTAGGTGGCCGATGGGGACTTGTTGGTCACAGGTCAGATAACGGGGACCGTCTACTGCAACTGTGCACAGACCACAACCTGTTTCTGGCTAGCACTAACTTCTGGGACAGTCATTGCCGATGTGCCACCTGGCGTCCTCCCTCTGCATCTCAAGCCTGGACTTAGATTGATCACGTAGCGATCAGCTACCGCTGGCGTGGTTGTGTACAAGACCGCCGCTCCTTTTGGAGTACCTCTCTGGACTCTGATCATGCCCTTGTTTCCGCTAATCTTACCTTACGTTTCAGCAGCCGATAAATATATCCCCCTAAACAGATCAATATCAGGAAATTGGTTGCAGCTTCTGTTACAACTAAATATCAAACCGAGCTAGGTTTTAAGGCTAGCTACCATTCCACCGAAAAGTATAGATAGGCATTGGTTGCAATTGCATGATATATTGTTCATATCTTCATCCTCCGCCAAATGTTAGAACACTGTCATACTTATCACAAGTAAACAATCGTAGTGTTTCTTGACATCAGGACTGCCTTCGATTCGTTGGACAAGACTTTTCTGAGATTTTTATTGAAGGGGGTGCCTGAGAAGCTCATTAACATTCTAAATGCCTCAGGCAGAGTGAGGGCATACAACCACCTTTCTCCATTGTTCCATTCATGCAGCGGGCTTAGACAAGGTTGCCCAATCTCACTTTGTTATCGACGTTCTAGAAATAGCTCTGATGGATATAAATAATGGCGGTGTGAATCTCTTGCCTGGAAAACGACTCTTCAACCTTGAAAGTGTGGATAGTATTGTCTTTCTGTGCGGTGATATCCAAGCTATGCAGTCCGCAGTTAATCAGTCGGCAGTTAGTGTCCGTAGGTATAGCATGTGGTTTACACCTAAGTGCAAAGTACTTTAACAAGACTAGTAGCACTCTCTGTGTTTTATCATCGTTGTATCCGAAGGATTGCTGACATCCAGTGGCAACACCATGTTAGTAATGCAGAGGTATGGCATCGTGTATTTGGGCGCAGAGACGATAATTCAATTGGTGTCACCATCTTGAAATATCGACTTCAGTGGCTTGGACATGTTCTACGAATGTCGTCTCAGAGAATTCCACGTCGTGCATTATTTACCGTCACTGTGACTGGTTGGAAAAGGCGGGGAGGTGGTCAGTGTATGACATGGTGTCGTGGTATGAAAGAAAGCCGCATAGGACTGGCTTGTGCTGGTCCTTCACGACTCCTTGGTTGGTGTCCTAGAGATGGTGCAACGCAGTGGCTAGAGACTTTGTCAGATATGGCTCAGAATAGAAGCCAGTGGCGATCCTGCTGTAACCTTCTTTTACTTTCTTCATAAAAGGTGACCATAACTTATTCAACTGAAAAAATTGTTTCTGGTTGTACCTTTCCGTTTCCCCCATTATTATTATTATTATTCTTATTACACTACCTTACACTAATCTGTTCGCTATTGTTTTTTTTCTCTTTTAATCCTCATTGTTTTGTGCGGCGCATATATATTTGGTGCCATCTTGTTCCAATATTTATGTGTTCAAATAAATAAATATATAAATGGGGCAATAGTATGGTTTGTAGTTCTAAAAAGTTTGGAAATAAAGGGATTCTCCGAAAAGAAGGAATGAATTCTCTGAATAAAAAGTATGAAGTAATGTTGAAACTTGGAATAGAACAGAGAAAAAGATGAATACATCTGTATCACATCATCAACCGACTTTTCGTTTTCCCTGTGTACCCTACTACATTCAGCATTTATCACTTAGTTGTCCCCACATGCTACCAATGCTTCGAAGATATCAGATGTCCTCTACTTTCCACAGCCATGTTTTCTAGCCATAATTTGAAACAGCCAAATACTATGTAGTAGACGCGCTCCCTAATTAGCAAACAAACGTTTTGTTTTGGAGAGCATCCCTCGCAAATTTCATGCAATTTTCCGGCACATTTTTTTAACGAAAATTCTAAGAAATCTCCTGATCGACAGAATCAAATCCTATCTTAACTTCGAAGGATACAACTGGTATTTCTGTTTTCCAGAATTCAACGAGGGTTGAATATTTGACTGGTACATTCACATCTAGTTCTGAAACTAGTTCGGTTTCTCTAAGTTTACTGTCCATAATCTATCTTAATTTCAGATGATTATTGAGGCTAATATTTTAAATACTATATGGATCAGGGTGATTCATCCCTCGTTATCCTAAGAGACTTCTATTCCTTTTCTAAAAATTCTGAAACGATCAGCAATTGAGGTCAGTTAGATGAGGTTACGTTTAGCTTCCAAACTCTAGAAAATACCTCGGTCATCCTAACCACCAAGATTTGACCAATCCCCTTAGAGACCTCCTAAGTTATTTCATCAGATCCTATTACTCTATCTCCTTCCTCATGCTAGATGTGCTCTTTCTAACTTCACTAAGAGTGTGGGAGACATTTTTCGACCTCATACTCAGGTTGTTTGGTGAGGATGAGTAGCTTGAGAGTAACTGGAGGCTACTAAAACTTAAGGTGTTCCTGTCATATAGGATGACATAGGTTCGTGGTTCGTAGAAAGTATTACTAATAACTGACATTTTAACACCTAGGTCTAAGGTTTCCAACCAACTGCTTCCAACTACCTAAAATCAAATACACAAGTATCTACGAAAATGTTAGTAAACTCCACACCATTGTACTTAGTCAATTTTCGCATATGAGAAACTGCTAAATTCAATGATATAAGGTTTAAGTCACGAAATTATAAGTGTTTTCAGAATATCTCGCGTGTATTAGAGCATTCTAAAGCGTAAAGAGAACAAGTAGGTATGGTGAATGATCTTCGAATGGCGTGGCCGAGATATGTTGCACACTCCTGCTCACCGTCCTTCAAATAAAATTATCGTGGTCAAAGTTAAGCTTAGGATTTAGGAAGGTGCTGGTTGGTTAGCCAAGACAAAATCATTTAATAGTCCTTAATTAATCTGGGATACATAAATATGTATTTAATCTTTGATTGGTGTAAAATGAAGGGATTTTATTTAGTTTTAAAAGATTTTGTGATGTACTTGAAAACCTATTCCAAGGTTACTTTCATCCTCACTTTTTTACTCTACCGCTTAGCTCACGCCATTGTTGTTTCCACTTGCATTAATTCACTTTCTTTACTGTCACTGAAATCATCATCTTGTTTGCTGGGTTTTATTCTCCAGTATAACTTTTGTGTGATTCCTGTCTATCTTCTAATGCATTTATTTCTGTTTCAAACACATTCTTGGTCTTCTCAAAAAGCTGACTTAGTATCTTGGTCCAAACTTTGGGCTTATTTTATTTATTTTATTTTAACACATAGATATTGGTACAAGGAGGCACCAAATACATATGCGCCACACAAATCTCATTCGATATGTGTGAGGGCTGTGATACTGTCCGGGTGCCCAAACCGAAGCAGGTGGTTTTCTTAGTGGGCCACTCCCCGAGCCTTCGACCTGAAGGTCTGACCCACAAGGCAGTGGAGCATCGTAAGGAGATGCAGTCCCATGGAAGCCGGTGACCAACAATTGGTTCATACGCCTTTTGTTCCCGCAGGATACTGGAGCCCATGTGCACCATTGGTTTGGAATCCTGTTAAGGCGCCGGACATTCACTTTTCGTCCTCTCATTTTTGTAAACAACACCCCCGCCACGAGAAGGCAGTGAGTAGGACTTCCCTGGCAGAGGCTATATACGCGTGGCCATGTGGGAGCATTTCGAGAGGGAGAGCGGACTCTCCTCACTCTCGGCCGTACCAGGGCATTTGGGGGCACTTTGGGCTACCCGTTTTAGTTTAAGCAATCTATTGTCTATCGGTGTCGTTTCTCTTTAATAACCCATGCTTTCGCCTGAACTACATATGTATGAAAGTAGTTAGCGGTGGGCGTCTTCCAACAAAAGCATGAGTATATTTCTCACCAGTTCGTACTGTTCTACTTTACGACTTATGAAACATGGCCTTACTAGATAAAGTTGGGAATTTGGTTGGTGAGGTAGTGAACCTTCATCGATAGGTGGTTAGGACATGTATTACGTATGCCAAACTAGCGCTTAACTAAACGGGTGACGTCTGGTGTAAGAGTATATTGGAAGAAAGCTAGGGACAGCCAAACCAAGACATAGAGCCACCTAATGAAATCATTGACGATTAGAATGATTCGTGTAAATAGTTGTAGACTGTCTAGCTAGGGTCTGCGCGATTATCGTAACTAAAGGTTAGAGGCATTAAGCAACGTGGCTCAGGGCTGTTTTTTATGGCGTAGATGCATTCTCATTTTGTCTCCAACCCGATCCTGAGCTTTAAAGTTACCTTATATTTCCTTATTTCATGAATTTTGTTTTCTTCCCGTTCATATTGTCTGCTTAAGCTTTTACAATACGGTTAATACTGTGATATGGGATTCGTCTTAATAATTTTATCCTCCTGTATTAATGTGGTGTGACAACCTGAACCAATGAAAGTATGTTCTGGTTCCTATGTTGCCTATAATTTGCTTCGTAACCTTCGAAAGTATTCAGTATGTTTTATCGTGGAACATTCATGCGTGTTCATTTGGTAATGAATCTTTTGGGACATTCTATTAATTAAAATAAATTTCAAATAAAACTCATTCATTCCAGTTTGTTGACTTGAACATATTCTAATGGCTGACTATCTGAAGTCTGCATTAAGCTATTTCGCCACCTCAAACACTACTAAAAATGAAAATGAATTTCTTGGCAGTAGTATATCTGTCGGGCAACTAAGTTTAAAAGTTAAGAGAATCATTGCTGAAGGTGGCTATGGAATAGTTTATGAAGCTCAAGATGTCAATGAAAATACATCATATGCGTTAAAGGTATCTGTTTACTTTTATAATCACTTGTTTAGCGTATGCTCGCTCACGACAAACCTTCAATGGATTTAATTCTTCATGAAGTTCGTTTACTGGTATGTATGTATCAGATTTTATTACCGTATTGATGAATCCCTTACCTTTAGAAACAGTTAAACGGACATCCAAACATCCTTAAGTTTTTTAGTGCAGCATCTGTTGGTAAAGAGAAAATGAAGGTTATTGGTACTGAGTTCTTAATAGTCACGGAGTTTTGTAAAGGTAAGTTCATATTTTCTCTCATATTTGTTAAACACTTTATATTGTGTCCATATTTTTGCAGTCAGTAGTTTCTGTGAAGTTTTTAGACCTATTGATTCTATTATTCATAAAGGTATTTAGTAGCTGCTGTCTTTTTTTTAATTTCCTTGATTTGACTGTTCCACTCTATTGTTTATGCCACGACAATAGTCTGACATTCATGAACAATATAGGACCTGTCACAAATATGTATAGATAGATTTTATATCTTAACTATTCCTGTTATCCTGCGCAATTTTCCTATCATATTGAAAATGATATAACAGCCTTAGTTATTTACGTGAAAGTGCTACTTTTCACTTTCGAAACATGTTTTTTAGTAACTGTATTAGTTTCTGGTAATCTGTCTAAGATCCACTAACATCAGTGAACTATTTTTCAGATTTTTCCTATATTACATAGTCAACAACGTAATAGCTGATATTGGTTTGTTTGCGATCAGTAAAGTCTGTATCAGAGATTTGTCAACAGATGAAATTCTTAATGTTTAACTTTCACAGAATGAGTGATTTTGGCCGAAAAAACTGTTTTATTGGATTTAGATTAATCACTGTATTATGTTATAAAATTAGTTTTAGAAATAATGTATTCATTGAAATATAATGCAGCGGTTTTTTAGCATTCTAATGCATGATTATTCATCAGTTTCGATAACTGGATAATGAATACTTTTTTGGTAGTTTTTTCACAGCTAAGTGTTATTTTCACGACTGAATGGTTTTTGTAAATCAAACTGAGTGTTTTGTGGATCTTATTAAATTCACCTATGATCATTTGAAATGAATAAAAGAAGAGTTTTCTTTATAATGACACCAGTGAACATGTAGATTGGTAACACTTCGAAGATGAGAATTCTACTTCGTAAGCTTGGAGCAGCTGAATATGGAAAGTATTCGAACCTTATCTTGCCAAAAAAACCAACGATATTTTTTTGATTCTAATGTACAAAAATTAACAGAAATTTCTACTAATCAGACTTCTTAACTTAATTTGCAATATAAATGTCTTAAAACTGTTAAAAGACCTGAAGAGGATTTTTTTCATATGCAGCATTTGTTAATAAATAATGCTAAAGTTTTAAGCTGCGTTCACTTCCTAACGAACAATTTGAGTGTCTTATCTTTGTATGCGGGTCACAATCATTGTCACACTCAGATGTTCGTACTAGAATTTTAAGCAGAATCAAGTCAGATCTCAGTCTTACGTTTATAGATATCACAAATGAATGTCATCATATTATTAATCTTGAGAATGACACTAAAAAGATTAAACGCCCAAATCTCAATTCATTTGGTTTGATGAAAATTCCTCATTCAGACCACATGATTCGCGAAATTTTTCATGCCCGAATCAAACGTGTAATATCTATAACTCTAATTCATGTTGCTCTAAAAGGACTCCCACTAGTTGGAACTATGGGACATGGTGTTCTTCACGTTTCTACCCGTTCAATGAACATAAATCCGCAAAATGTGGAGTAACCGACCATTTCGCAAACCCAGCAAACCTTTATCCCATTATCGAATGCCAAGAAGGATAAATTTTGTACATGTATTGTCGAAATCTAACCCCCAAAGCTTACCAAAGTATTTATCCGATAATGTTAATGATCGTATTATCACTTTGCAATTGGACACTGCATCCGATGTTACTTTGATTTCTCGCAAAAATTGGCACGAACTTGGCCAGCTATGCATCCATCCTACTAATGATTGCATAAAGAACGCATCGGTCATCCTAATCAAAATTTTTGGAATTACCAAATGTACAGTCAGATTTAATCTAATAATCAAATCTAAATGTTATGTTGCTGATGAATCCTTCAATCTGTTGGGTCTTGACTGGATCACAAAATTTAAAATGTTTAATTATCTTTAATCTAGATTCAGAAATGCTCGATCAGTCTTCCAATCCTATTTGCATCCAAGTATATTTCTATCGTCATATGATGCACAAATGGTGACAGACATTTTCTAGCGATTTTCAAAATGATCACAAAGGGAGGGATTGACCGAGAAAATCACTAGAAATAACCCCAAATCGAGCCTCACCCAACGGAAGGAAGACTTCGAATTCATTTGATAACATTTATCCACAAAGAGAGAGAGATGAGATTATAAACCCAAGGCGAAGATAATTGAAAATCAGTTTCCTAATGGGAAATATATAAACCACATCCATGACAGACGATTAAATTCAGATAAAGAACCTCCTAGCTTGAGCCTTCAGCTAGTTTGTTTGATTGATTTAGTCAGTTTAGAGCATCAGGATCAGCATGAAAGAAGTGATAGCCAGACCCCGAGAAAATCATCAAGAAGACGGCAGTCCCTTCTACGCCTTCAGTTACATCCAAGGAGTAAGATATTTTTGAAGAGGGTAAGGTGATATGGAGTCAGTCGACGGCGATCAAAAGGGACCTAAAGGTCAAGTGCATTTCCTTCAGGTCAATTTACTAAGGATAGAGTAGTATATATGAATGAGTGTTTGTGCATTTCATTCTGTAGCCCAATACACTTTCTCGCTCAAGTAGTCATTTGGGGGGGGGTGTTCGCGCGTAGCACAGAGTGTATCAGTATCTGCTTTCGGACACCACGAGTCACAACAATTATACTACATGAAGGCATTAGTGTGAAACCTTTGTAAATACTTTTTAACATAAATATTAAAGCAAATTTTGTGGGTGCTATAACCATACATTTTACACTGACCGCGTTGTTCATATTGCTTGTAAATCTTCAGGAAAAATTAAATCTCACACAACGTATAAAAGCAGTGGTTACTGAATCTTAAATGAAATATCATTACCTCTTTTCCATGATACAAGAATTCCATATTTGAGCAGTTTAGCTAATTAATTTATTTCTTAAATTTAGGGGGTCAGTTGGATAAATATCTACCGGCATCAAAATGTGAAAATCCCCTGCCATCGAACGTTATCTTACAAATATTTCATCAATGTTGTCGTGGTGTACAACATATGCATAGTCAATGTCCACCTGTGATACATCGAGATTTGAAAATTGAAAATCTATTACTTACTGATAATTTTATCATAAAGTTATGCGATTTTGGTAGTGCAACTACAATTACATATAGTCCAGATCAATCATGGACTGCTTTAAAACGTGGAAGTGTTCAAGAAGAAGTGAGTGTTGCGCTATCAGCGAGTTTAATAATCAATTTTAAAAATTAACTCTATCTATTGTAGCACTGTTGTTTTTGAACAACCATGAAATGATCAAACTATTTAACTTTTAGATTGAGCTACAGCTTCAAAAGCTTGCTTCATTAAGCTTTATTTAGTGTATTTTATATATATATATATATATATATATATATATATATATATATATATATATATATATATATATATATATATCTTTATATGTGAAGATTTTGTGCAGTTTAAAATTTATCTCATCAAATCGGTTGGCAAATCACTGACAAGGTCTAAATTTAATTGTGTAAAAATATTGATTCACGCTACAAACATGCGTTACTGAAATGGAAAGAGTATTTGTCCACAATGGCTAAATACTAAAATAGCAATGTAATTCTGTTAAAACTAATATGTATTCAGCTACATGCACCCTAGACGTGCATGGTGTTTCTTTTCAAGGTTTGTTCATTTATTTCCCCTCTGTAATTTGTAGTGTTGTAGTTTACATATTTAAAGTTTGGGCATTTCTGTATTCCACATTTGAGTAAGATATTTTGGGTTAAATATTTCACTTTAAATCGTTTACACAACCTCTTATCTAGACTTTATAGTTTAAGCGCTAAATAAGTTCATCCCTGTTGTTTAGTTATGTATTTCTCAAAATCAGACACATTTAAGACATATGTTGTAGTCTAAATCCTATCTTCTTGAGAGTTCACTTTGACAATACAATATTTTTCCTATGTATATTAGTCCATGGATTTCTAATTTCGTCAAATGAAGATATTATACAAAAGATTGTATTCTTATTTCATCAATCAAATTATTTGTTTGTCATATCTACTTTCTTATAGTTGTACCTTTGTACTGAATGCTTACTAGTGTGGTGAACGAGAACACCAATGGGGACAATCGAATATAAAATTATAGAGCACCTTAGTAAAATCGGAGAAAATTCTTCATTTGCGAAGTATTAGTCAATTACCTCAAGCTTGATTGTTCCTTCTGCAAAATGTCGATCAATCGTCTCGGACTTCGTTGTTATTTCGTTTCCACACCAATAATTATTTGTTCTCGTTCTCTTTTCTTTGATCTTCGTAACCTTCTGCCTCCAGGCATTCCACTTTCGATTGATGATACATACTACTTATATCTGTCGACATCAGTAGCACACCCCGCACTAGTATTTGTATCTGTTAAGTGGTATCATGTTTTACTAATAGCAATAGGCACTGTTGAACCAATGATTGATCTTCGAATTGTGCATTGTCTTCTGACATTGATATTATCTTTCAGTTATAAATTATTTTGTGAATAGATTTTCAAAACATATGTTATATTCTTTTCACCATTCATTCAATCTTTATCTAGTTCATGTGTATGTTTTGTAGTTCGTTCTTTCCGTCCTCACCATGTTTTTTTTTACATCGTCTTAACTACTATCTTAAGCTGGAGCGTTTCACAACACCAATGTATCGGGCTCCAGAAATGCTTGATCTTTACCAAAATTATCTTATTGGTACTCCATCGGATATTTGGGTAAGTCATTTTTAAAAATAAAGATTCATTTAACTGTAACCCATCTTTATACTAATTAAGCGGTATTGTTGTGTAATCTTAAGTGCCAATCGAAACTTATTGGTCAGATCGCTGTGTAACCATCAATCTAAGTTGCTCAAAATCGTGTTAGGTTATGTTTCTAATCCTTATTCTTAGTGATCGTTTCTATTGTTTTACTTATTTAAATTTAATTCTAAATAAATATAGACACTAAAATGTACACTACAGTAAGTTTTATTAAGATTCGAAAAAATATGCAAGCGTTTTGGAATCATTGTTCTCTTGAATGAAACGTTTTATCCATAAATCTTCCAACAAATATTAAGAGGAATATCCTTTCAAATCTCAGACTACATGTTCATCATTGCTTTAGAAGCGGGCTTTTTCTAATTTTCTAGTTAAACATTCTGTATCCAGCAAACCGGTTTTAGCATTAAACACACCGTTGTTTTTTCATTTTTCCAAGAAGTACTACTTTGTCAGTTGAAACAGTTAGTACCGACCGTCTGTTAGAGCGTTTAAACCCTTAACTATATGAAAGCATTTCGTAAAGAGCATCGCATATTTCAAGGTTTGGGGAATTCATATTAACTTTTTAGATATCAATAAATGTTTCTAAAAAGGTAAACCATGTCAAAATTCTTTACAGCCGATTAGAAAAATTCATAAGATTATGAATGTAAGCTTTTCCGTAAATTGCTTTGTCGACCATTTAAGTTAAAGTTTTTTCAGAATCTTGTATAATCTCAAGTTCAAGATTAACTGTACAGAAACATTTTCTTATTTTTTATGATTGAAATGATCTTGGTAGTAAATCGTATTGTTGTACTTCTCTCGTTTGATAATCGAAGTTGTACATTCATAAGAGCCTGAAAACCAATTAGAAATAAAGTGTTGCAAGCGTTTATTGAACCAGACATACTAAACTTATTGTCTATAGGGTTGTTATGTTTGAAGAGATTACGAGATCATGTAAATCTGCGAACGGAACGAAGACTAAGCAACACAATGACCAAATAAACTAACTATTTCGATGCGTTCTAGCCCCGCTAACTAGAGGGAGAAGTCCAGGTTCAGAAGAGGGAAAGTGTATTCCACAAGCAGCCAGAGGCATGAATCACCACAAGCACAACTCTAGCATATATATACAGAATAAAAATATCCTTGGGAAAAGTAACAAAATAGTATATTAAAAGATAAAACGAACCAATGACATTTACGGTCCTTCCAAGTGGGAAATACAATCTGAAGGTAAAAATTGGCGCATTTGGCGCGCAAACCAGAGATTCAGATTTTCAAAATAAAATTACAAAAATAAGATGTTTACCAAATGAGTTCTGGGGATCTAGCATCCCTAACAAGGGTAGAACATAAGAGCTTTAGTAATCTTTTATCTATTTTATTTTGAATATAATGAATTCCGCTATTAGTTGCTATAACGTAATTTTATTTTGAAATTAATGATCCCATGTCCTCCCATCCGTCTATAGACGATTTAACCATCCCAATTATCTACTCATTTGTTTATTGTCTTCAGTCTTATTCCACTTCGATTATATTATGTTGGTGTAATTATTTTGGACTTGTTAAGTTGATCACGGGAAACTCAATTTTTGTTAATAATACTAGAGTATTACTAGGAATAGCGGTAATCTGGAATACATTTTTTTCCAATTCAGTTTTTCGTATGACTTTTACCCTTTTCTGATTGATTGGTACTACTTTTTGTTTGCTAATTTCGTGTACGGATGAAGGGTTATGGTTCTGTTTCAAAAAATGTTTATTGAGTTGTACTTCTCCACGTTGTTCTGCCTAAACATTAAGATTTTCCTTCACTTTCTCTTTTTCTTATGGTAGTGTCTAATTTTTAAAATATTATGTTCAGGTTCACGACAGGACCGCTTGTATTAGAATATCTCAGCTGTCCTTAAATCCGTTAGTATTGTAGATCAATCGAAAACCTCAATAAAGATAATCGTTCTTGTTAATATTCAATAGAACTTGATAGATTTGTGATGTCTGTTTACCTTTGTTTGACAATAAACTATAATAATAAACTGAAAAAATGTTTAGATAATGCAGGATTTTTTAAAAAGAAATTTTGATAACATTGTTCGAAATTATAAGCAAAGATGGATAGTGGCGAGCAGTGGAATCCAGGACGCGCGTCTCGTCCTATTTGGGACTCGTCGGCTGGACGTACCTGCATCTCAGAGTGGATGTTCTCTCTGGGACTCGAACCCAGTGCCGTTCGCTTCAAACGCCATAGCGTTATCCACTTACCTACTGAGTGTTGACCAATCGCAGTCCTAAACATCAATGGGAAGATTTAAGTAAAACAATACCAAGTGAATTAAACTTCACCCCATTTCACAAGCAATTAGCTATCAGGACTCAGTAGCTAAGTGGATAACGCGATGGCGTTTGAAGCGAACGGCACTGGGTTCGAGTCCCAGAGAGAACATCCACTCTGAGATGCAGGTACGTCCAGCCGACGAGTCCCAAATAGGACGAGACGCGCGTCCTGGATTCCACTGCTCGCCACTATCCATCATTGCTTATAATACTTGTAAATTAAGGAAATATCGAGGCAATACGCACAGTATGCACATATGCCAATAAGAGACTAATCAATCGCAGTCCTAAACATCAATGGGAAGACTCAAGTAAAACAATACCAAGTGAATTGTAGTTCAAAATGTTATAAACTGTTAATTGACTCAGAATTATTCGAATAATTTTGATTGTGTGTTGATGTTCAAAACCTGTTTGTATTAGTATACATCTAGAATGTTGGGATTGAATTTAAAAGCAATATTTCTATACTCAATTTGTATTTTTAAGAAACTATATTTTATTTATCTAGAAAGTGTCATTATTATCATTGTTTATTACAAATGGAACTACTCAATATTTTAATGTTTATTTTATCATTTTTTTTATTTAAGGCTTTAGGTTGTATATTATTTTATTTAACATGTACTTATCATCCATTTGAGGATTCATCGAAATTGGCTATTCTCAATGCTAATTATAGTATACCGGCATCAATAAGTTCAGTGAATGCACCATTTTGCAGTTTAATTCGTAAGTTTACCTCTTGTTTTAGTGTTACTTCGAAATAGGTTTGCTTTCATTACACGTTAATTAAGTGTACTTCAGAGTAATATGTCACTAAGTTAGTAAACAATACTCGAGGTTTTATCATCTTATTCTCGGATTCTGGTTAGAAATGGAATTCAGGATACTAATCTTCATCCTATTTCGGGCTTATCTTTTAGACGTATCTGCTTCCAATTATTGGTTTTCACACAGTCTCCGATTCAGTACCTATCGTTTCTAGCGTCGAGTCCACCAAGCAACTGAGTCCCAACATCCACTAACAGTGTCCCAGTATTTTTGCGAACGTCAACACAAACGCGATTACATCCATCTGATAAGTTTCAAATGGACGAAAATGTACTCCCTGTATTCCACTGCCATTTACTATCGGAATATATATTAACTTGTAATTACAGGTGATTTATAGGCACTCATCTAGTATCCATATTCCAAAGTAGATTAACTAGAATCGTTCTGAATGAATACATTTCGTCACCCTGTACGTTTTATACAATGTTCCTAGCCACTTGCAAGTTCTCAGAAATCATCAAATCTTGAATCCTAAGAAACCAGAAGGGTGATATATATATATATATATATATATATATATATATATATATATATATATATATATATATATATATATATAGTCGTATGCTCATCAATGACTAATTTTGAGAGGCGATTCTTGAAGTTCTAGAGAGAAGCTGTAAACACTAGAGTTCAATCTTGTCTAGTATGGGACAGCTAACCACTGACCACATCGTAAAATGGTTGCGCAAATCAGTTGGAGTTAAGCATGTAAACCATTAGATGTCGGCTCAATGGTTTAAGGAGTGTGTTTGTTGTCATACCTGAAGGTCATGGTCGTTGATGCGCACTTCTAAGGAGTGCCGCACTGGGACCTAATGGCTGTTAAGAACTTTCTAGTTTTGAGCGGTTGCTTGTGATGTTGACTTATATCTGTTGTTATTATCACAAGTAATCTAGTCAAACTAAATGTTACCCATTTTTTTCTTTCAGGACAATTACTTCTCATAAATCCATCTCAACGTCCTAACATAAATGAAATTCTTGGTGAGTTATCTGAATTGGCGTCTATGAGAGAAGTTCGAGTAAGTGGTTCTATTCCTCTGTTGGAAGAAGTTGCTAAAAGACGTAATGTAAACGTTACAGCTAATCCTACAAGCCAGCCAATCAGTAAGTAATTGTTTGAATCAGACAATACAACTTTAAATCTCACCTAATAAATTCCAAATTCTGGTAGTTAATTGTATGATTTTGTCTAATCTGTTATTTTTCATTCTGTCAGACAGAAATCAGCCGAAAATTAATAACTATTTGATTCAGTATCCTAACCAGTGACTAATATTCAGATTCCTATGTAGTCTTTTCTTTTCAATCATGACAATTTCTTATCATAAGTGCTTATAGAAGTCAAGTCATGGTGATAAGAAAATATTAACTGTTTATTTGAAAGAACAATAAAACTGTCTTACTTGTACTTTGATTTAGCATTTCCGTAATTCTTAATTAATTAAAATAAGTCAACATTCTAAGCTAGATTAAGTTACCAGGATGTTTATCAAGTTTGATAAATTGAGTGTCATGAAGTCAAGGTATTTAATATTGTTCCAGATACTTATTTCTATTAAACTGAGTTTGACGATATGTCTTACTCACTTGTATCGACATTGATATTTATCGTTTGACTATTCGCTGAAACAACCTTTATCTCAGTCCAATAAGCTTTTTAGATATTTGCTATAAAATTGAGTACACAAATGCTTACTTGAGAGTTAAGCTATATACTATCGTCTACCGTAAAGTATGCTCACAGAATAACCAAGTAAATCAATTTGTTTACAGCTGATTAATTACTCAATGGTGATATATTTATATTGTGCTGATCAAATTCTGTTAATCAAGTTAGTATGTAGGCACTAGTTCGAGGGAATTGACATCACATTCACTATGTTGAGATTGTAAGTAGTCAACAGGAGATCATCGACCTAGGTTTTCTTTAGTTGATACTCGTCAGCAAGGTGTTTCTGCAATCTTGAAGCTGACGTGGGTTCGAGTACTACATAGCGTATAATTTACCTCAAGATTTCAGGTATACCTTACTAACATGTGCCAACTAGCATGAATGCTAGATCCAAGATCTTCCGGCGTTTACTACCAACCACTTGAAATATCACTCTATTTTCTAGTTACCTGTTGTTTTGTGTTTATTATTTATTAAAAGCATTTTTATCCCCATTAGCTTAATAGAATTGTTTTATATAGGATAAGGCATTGCTTTTAACAGACAGTGGAGCAGTGATTTAGTTATGATAAAATACACAGGTTTTAACCACTGAGTTTCCTGCACGCTCAAATCTCATTTTGATTTGAGTAACAGGGTAGAATATGATTACCATTCGCACCTAAAATGTAGCTCAAAATAGAATACACAAGTCTGTAAATGATTATTAAATTATGGATAATGTAGTTCATGCCCTAACAAGTTCTTTAACTACAAATAACCATTGAAGGCACTCACAAGCCCATCATTTTGATGATGATTTGTAAGGATGTGTTTTAATCAATACATTTTGCAGAATACTTTGAAATAAGTGTTTTTCTTTTGACGGAAAAATGTAGTTAAATTATCTTCACCTTAAAATCAATTTTAAAAGACTTTAAAACATTGAAAATTTACTCATTCCTCTTACTTTATAGATCGTAATGATCCTAAAGTTAGTGATTATCATCCGAGATCAATGCATTCAGAAAATAATGTTGTTACAAATCCACAACCGTCATCTAATAAACCATCTAGACCCAATCCTCCAACATTGCCCTCACAACAAAAATTAAATCCAACAGTTAGTTTTAATCCACCATCATCATTGTCATCATCATCAACAGTAGTCATAACAACTCAAGCACCTACAGTTAATCAAATTTCAAGTAATCAACAATTATCGAATCAATCTATGAGTAATATGCTTGGTATGATTAAAGGAGGCGCTGGCAATTTAATTCGTAATATACGAGATGCATCAACTAAAGTTATTGGGACTGTTTCTACGTGAGTACTATTTGTTGTTATCATTTTTCTTCATTTATGCTCAAATTACAACAATTTACATTTATCTCAATAGTTGAAATCATGAGTCAATTAAAGCTAAACCACCATGGAAAACCTGAAAGCACTGGACGGCTGTTTCATCCTCGTATGGGACTCCTCAGAAGTGCGCATTCATGTCGATATAATATTAACAGGCAATAATTACGTTTAATTGTTAGGTCCTCATTTCATTGGGATATGATGGGCAACATGCAATAAACTATCAAATCATTATTATTTTTTCATTTAATCATCTTAGTTAACTAATAAAATAAAATGTGTTGTCTTAGTCAGTTTTATTGTTTTCTGATATCAATTCATTTGGAAATCGTGCATCAATTATTCCATATTGTGTAAGGAACTATCAATTGATTATATCGTATCATTGCATTGCCCATTATTTATCGATCAGTATTATACTGATTTATTCGAATAGTTTTAAACTCTATTCATCATTATCATATAATAATTGTCGTTTGTCTTTTTTCTTCGTTTGGGGGAGGGCGCAGAGAAGCGAAAATATTACTTTATTATCAGTTATTATTATTAAGTCACATGTTACGTTTGTGAGAAAGTTGAATGCACACTACTGAGAAGTCCCATACTAAGATGAAACGGCCGTCTAGTGCTTTCAGGTTTTCAATGGTGGTCTAGCTTCAATTGACTCATGAATTCAATTATTAAATTACTACAATCTCCACAAAACCCTTCACTGATTATAACATAAGTGTTGACATCCATTTAATTGAACACGTATTTTAATCCTGTTACCATGTCGTCAAAATTTATATCCTAAACGTACTAATCATAATTTCATTAGTGATTTACTGAGTGGTTAAAACGTTTTTTTTACTTTCAACAGTTTGATCTCACGTCTGAACTCGTTATTTATTTGTTTTAATTTGAACAATTGGGAATCATCATTAGTTCGTTCCGTCCTACTTTATGGCAGTGAAACATGGCCGGTAAGAGTAGAGGATATCCGTAGGTTACGAGTATTTGATCGTAGGTGTCTTAGAAATATTGCTCGTTTATCCTGGGACCATCGAGTAAGTAATGCAGTTGTTAGGAAACGGGTACTAGGTAAGGATGGCAAATCAATTGATGACGTAGTGAAACTTCATCAGTTGAGATGGCTGGGACACGTGTTACATATGCCCAACGACCGACTGCCTCGACGTGCGATGTTCAATGGTATAGGAGTAGGTTGAAAGAAAGCTAGGGGCGGCCAGACCAAAACATGGCACAAGTCCATGAAGTCACTGACAAGTGGACTGAGTCATATTGGTAGGTGTAGACTACCTGGTTGGGGACCGCGAGATGATAGCAATCGATGGTTAGAGACCCTGAATGACATGGCTCAAAATCGTTTGCAATGGCGCAGGTGCATACACTCTTTGTGTTCTCCCAAATTCTAATCTTTTGAATTCTTCATGTCCCTTTTTTCTCGTTCCAAATTCATTTCACTGGATTATACTCCTTGAATAACATCTTCAAACCTTAATTTTTCTGATTACAGCTTATAATTTTACTACATCTCGCACTACGGGATTTGAATCGACCACTGCATCTCAATGCTAATGTGGCGTGGCAACTCGAACTGATGTACGTACGTACGGAGTTCTACGTTGTTGATGACTGACTGACTGTGTTATAACTTAGCCGTGTGCCCTATTGATGTACAACGTGATGATACCGCCAATTAGAGAACAGTGATTTGTCGACCGGACCAATGATGCATAAAACCAGTACGAACAGTCTAGAGTCCTTAGCGATCCTGCTTCCCCGCCTACCCAACCTGTTAAGTCCAGAACACTAATCTCAGCCTCTGTGATATGAATAATTTATTTCAAACATACTGGGTTTATGTACCAATCAGACAGTTCACATCGTACCATAAAATAGGAAACAACATTTGTACAAGATTTAACCAAAAGTGGCTGTGCATATGGGAGGTAGTAATTGATAGACTGGATATAACTCACGAATGGTAAATCGTATAATAACAGTTCATATGTCAAAACAAAGCTTATGATGAGAGGAACACGAATATGAATAGTTTAGTCATTTTAAAATTATACGATAAAAATATACGTATAGTATTGGTCCATAAATGGGTCCCAAAAGTTACCATTCATTATTCTCATCGGGATATAACAGCCTTCACAAAGTATATTTTTCAAAGCTTTAAGTATGTGTACCTAGTTTTGATTACTGGGTTTCATCAATTGCTGATAGGCGTACATACAGGCAAATCCACTTATTGTCAATAACTAAGAAATACTTTAATCAAGTATGCTAGTAATATTTAGTATGCTTTTTTATGGGTTAACTAAACAGCTTTCAGAAAAGTAAACTGCAATTATAGTCTTATGAAATCTCATGTACATAAGGTAAGTTAATATTCATTCATATTAGTGATACGAGTAGCTTATAATGATTTTACTGTTTCAACAATAGTTTTTAATACATGTATCCTAGTTTTATACAACTATCATTCGCTCCACGGCGCCATCCCATAAATCAACTAGCTCTTCTCTTTTTTCATCCAGTTTTAAAACAGTGCATAATGTGAAAGTCACTGGGGTGACATGAGTAAAACATATCCAAATCGCCAAAGCTGGTGTTTTAAAACATTTTCATCGGTTGAAATAATATCACTATGCCCCAACACACAGTACCCGGATTTAGGTACTAATTGCACGGTGTTATCATCTGATTTAAGTAATCCCTTGGAGACTTACGATCAACCACTAAGAGAGCCACCAAACATACTCAACTTAGCGGAGGTTATAATAGGCCTACTTTCACCAATTTATAAACCCGACGTTTTAGACTCAGATTAACGTTACGTCGGTCTATCAATAATAAATCAAACTTCTGCTTGTTCAGTTTATAGGTGGTAACGTTACTTATAGAATTTTTTTGTTAATAATTTTATAACTGTCATTTAATAATTTACGCAACTTTTGTGTTTAAAAATATTGTCTCTGAGTTATTTGCTGATGATACTGTTGGGTTATAATAAAAGCATCTCCCTATTTTTGTACACTTATCTTTCAGCACGTTGAATACAGAGCTTGATTTCCAGTTTATCACTTCACGTATAGCAGGTTAGTAATCGTTAATAATCCTACTCACAGTAATGTATTCGTGTCAATATTTTATGGAAGTTTCTATAAGGTTCGTACTTAACCTTTTCATTGTTGTTGCCTACTATTGCGAACTTGTTCACTTTTATTTAAGCTTCTTAACAGCATCCACGATTATGTTCATCAGGTTTAAATACAAATGTGCAGCGTTTCATAAAATTTATATTCCTCTACTCACCACCTTCAATGTGTTGTGTAATCCTTCACTCATATAGGATGCCTATTGCTGAAGTAAAGAATAGCTATCTGTTAGACATCTGATACCGTTAATAATTAAGTTTGGGTTCATGTTTATTATGAATTCTCGATGGTGTTTTCGTTCTCCAGTGGTTCTGTGATTGTATTTTTCTAGTTACAGTTACATAGTATAATCTGATTTCCAATTATTTACTAACACCAACGTTCGGCAAGAACGAACTACAAATTTACTGCATATTTTCACACTTTGGATATCATAGTGTAAATGCCAGCGATCCAACACAGTTTAGGTGCAATGGATTTTCATTGTTGTCTGATACTAGGATACTGCCTGACTACTTAATTGAAATAGTTGAAGCGAAACCTTGATATTAAACCCAGTTACTGAAAGACTGGTTTTCAAATAACTGATCCAATACTCTAACTAAGTGAAAATGAATTGTGTAGCTTATGTGATTATAATTTCATCATGGATGTAATCTTTCCCATAATACTTAGGGAGATAACATTTAATTTCTTTTTTGTTATGTATGGTATATGAATGCTTGATAACTACTAATCGTTGTCATAGAATCTACTAGACTTGAATTTTAGATGGAAGTCAAAGGCGGGAAATGTGGAAAAAGCTTTACTTCCAAGCTTAGCATTAGGTGTAAAAAATAAGTATATATCTTGAATTCGTTGAGGTTGTCAGTATCTGGAAGGAAGACTGTATTGAACCTTTGTAATGTTGTTTACTCAGTTCAATGTTTATTTAGCTTTAGTTTCACCTTGACAAGATATGTCAGCTCCTCTCCTGGTTCTCACGTCTTCTATGGATCTTACGAATTTTTTACTGATGTAAATATGAACGATCTGGTTCTCTGCAGTGTGATCCAGTGAGACCCATGTAGCTTTGTGTATGCATTTGTGTGAGGACATTTTGCAGCCTATAACCAGTTTAAAGCAATTAGTCCCTTTTATAAATTTCGTCTTCTCATTGTTCTATCGAGATATAACCAGTTTGTTGAATACACACAGACTTGCAAATCTCTCACCGTTCTCATTCATTTCTCCTAGTCCATGTCGTCCCATGATATCTACATATCCGGTGTTGTTCATTCCGACTTTGGCGTTTAGGTCTCACATTGGGGTGGTCAGGTGGTTTCCTGGGCGCTTCGCTATGATCGAATGCCCTGGTACGGCCGAGAGTGGGGAGAGTCCGCTCTCCCTCTCGAAATACTCTCACACGGCCACGCGTATACAGCCTCTGCCAGGGAAGTCCTACTCATTGCCTTCTCGTGGCGGGGGTGTTGTTTACAAAAATGAGAGGACGAAAAGCGAATGTCCGGCGCTTTAACCGGATTCCAAATCAATGGTGCACATGGGCTCCAGTATCCTGCGGGAACGAATGGCGTATGAACCAATCGTTGGTCACCGGCTACCATGGGACTGCATCTCCTTACGATGCTCCACTGCCTTGTGGGTTAGACCTTTAGGTCAAAGGCTCGGGGAGTGGCCCCCTAAGATAACCACCTGCTTCGGTTTGGGCACCCGGACAGTATCACAGCCCACACACAAATTGATGAACTCTTTATGCCTATGGAAATTACCTTTCTCGCTTTGAAAAACAAACAATTGATTCAGATTATTATCATTACAATTATTGTCATTATTAATACTAATATTATTATTACTACTATTATTGTCATTATTGTTATTATTATCATTATTATTATTATTTTCCACATTATTCACCCTCTTTTATACTTATACAGCGGCTCGTCTTTGGTGGAAATCCGACTGTATCTAAACGTTCTCGAGTCACTGTCCGGTTGAAAATTGTATGTTACCACCGAATACGAGGACTGAAGCAGATTTTCTGAAACCACGTGCACCATTCAAACTGGCTGCCTTCAACGTTCGCACATTTATGCAGGTCGGACAACAGATAGGGCTGGCTATGTCTTTGGAAAGTCTTAATATCGACGTGTGTTGTCTATCCGAGACCCGTACTCAAGACTCTGGCGAAGTACTACAAATTCGATCTCCATCTGTCGCTTCGAAAAGCTTGTTTTACGTGCGCTTATCCGGGGACCCTGTGGCATCTTCGTCTGGTCTTGCTGGCGTTGGTGTCGCACTAAGCGCTAGAGCTGAGGCAGCACTAGTCGATTGGATCCCCATTAACAGTCGGTTATGTGCTGTTAGATTAGAAAGTTCCATCAAAGTGAGAAGAAATCGGCGTGAGAAACGATGTCTTTTCGTCATCTCCGCCTATGCCCCGACAGATTGCAGCCCGGATGCAATCAAGGATGAGTTTTACCACCAGTTATCAGTTCTTCTCCAGAAAGTGCGTTCGACAGATATTGTAGTACTAGCCGGAGACTTGAATGCTCAGGTCGGGCGTCTAGGCACAGAAGAGAGTCGTTTAGGTGGCCGATGGGGACTCGTTGGTCGCAGGTCAGATAACGGGGACCGTCTACTGCAACTGTGCACAGACCACAACCTGTTTCTGGCTAGCACTAACTTTCGGCACAGTCATCGCCGATGTGCCACCTGGCGTCCTCCCTCTGCATCTCAAGCCTGGACTCAGATTGATCACATCGCGATCAGCTACCGCTGGCGTGGTTGTGTACAAGACTGCCGCTACATTTGGAGTACCTCTCTGGACTCTGATCATGCCCTGGTCTGCACCAATCTTACCTTACTTTTCAGTGGCCAACGAAGTGACCTCCACCAAAGGACTGATGTTAGCAAGCTGGTTGCAACTTCTGTTGCTAGTAAGTATCGAACCGAGCTAGTTTCTAGGCTAGCTACCACTCCACCGAAAAGTATAGATGAGCATTGGTTGCAATTGCATGACGCCATGAAAATGGCGGGAACAGTCAGTTGTGGGTTTGCGAAACGTCCCGCTTTTAAGCACTGGGTTTCTTCTGGTTCCTTACAACTCATTGAAGCCCGTCGGTCTACTCCGGGTGACCGTGAGTTTGACCATAAACGAAGGATGTTACGTGAGGAAATTGGGCAAAGCTTGCGTAAGGACCGAGAAGCCTGGTGGTCGATGCGTGCTAATGAGCTGGAAGCAGCAGCTGCATCTGGTAACTGCCGGAAGCTCTTCCAGCTCATCCGAGCCACTGGCAGCAAGAAGTCTGGTGTGAGTGAAACAATCTGCGAGGATGATGGGATGCCAATCACTAACATCCATCGACGTCTTGGACGGTGGGCAGAATTTTTCGAAGGGCAGTTCAACTGGCCTGCTGCTCCGGCAACATCGGTCAGACTGTCCTGCCCTCCATGGCCGGTGACGACTGATCCACCAAATGAGGAGGAAGTCCGCAAGGAACTCCAACTCTTGAAGCGTTACAAATCACCTGGCCCAGATGACTTACCTCCGGCTCTTTTTAAAGATGGTGGTGACTTTTTGACTAAGGAATTGACGACGTTGTTTACAAAGGTTTGGGAACTAGAGAGTGTACCAACGTCATGGAATGAGTCGATAGTTGTCCCTATCTTTAAAAAGGGTTCACGTCGTTCTTGTAACAACTATCGGGGGATAAGTTTACTTCCGATTGCGTCCAAGCTATTGGCTTCCGTCATTCTTCGTAGGTTGTTCAAAACCCGAGAAAGATTGACTCGCGAGGAGCAGGCTGGGTTTCGTTCTGGTCGAGGATGTATTGATCATATCTTCACCCTCCGCCAAATGTTAGAACACCGCCATACTTTTCAAAGGCCAACAATCGTAGTGTTTCTTGACATCAGGGCTGCCTTCGATTCGTTGGATAGGACTGTTCTCTGGGATTGTCTATTGAAGAAGGGTGTGCCTGAGAAGTTTATTAACATCCTAAAAGCCCTGTATAAAAACACCTCAGGCAGAGTGAGGGCATACAACCACCTCTCTCCATTGTTCCATTCGAGCAGTGGGGTTAGGCAGGGTTGCCCAATCTCACCATTCCTCTTCAACTTTGCCATCGATGACATTCTGGAAACAGCTCTGATGAATGTAAGTAATGGTGGTGTGGATCTGTTGCCTGGAGAAAGACTTCTCGACCTTGAGTATGCGGACGATATTGTCTTACTGTGCGATAATGCCCAAGGCATGCAATCCGCACTTAATCAGTTGGCAATCAGTGTCCGTAGGTATGGTATGTGCTTTGCACCTTCGAAGTGCAAAGTACTTCTACAAGACTAACAGGATTCTACTCTTGTACTCACCCTGGATGGTGAGCAGATAGAAGTAGTCGAGAAGTTCGTGTATCTAGGTAGCTGCATAAGTGCTGGTGGGGGTGTGAGTGATGAGATCAATGCACGAATAGTGAAAGCCAGAGCGGCTTATGCCAATCTGGGTCACCTTTGGCGCCTTCGTGATGTTAGTCTGGCTGTGAAAGGCCGGATCTACAACGCGTCGGTGAGAGCAGTTTTGCTCTATGCTTGTGAAACCTGGCCTCTCCGAGTTGAGGACGTTAGACGACTCTCTGTGTTCGATCATCGCTGTCTCCGAAGTATTGCTGACATTCAGTGGCAACACCATGTCAGTAATGCAGAGGTTCGGCATCGTGTGTTCGGGCACAGAGATGATAACTCAATTGGTGTCACCATCCTGAAACACCGACTTCGGTGGCTTGGACATGTTCTCCGAATGTCGTCCCAGAGAATTCCACGTCGTGCATTATTTGCCGACTCTGGGACTGGTTGGAAGAAGCGGAGAGGTGGTCAGTGCATGACATGGTGTCGTGGCATGAAAGAAAGCTGCAAAGGGCTGGCTTGTGTTGGTCCTTCACGACTCCCTGGCTGGGGTCCGAGAGATGGTGCTACACAGTGGCTAGAGACGTTATCAGATATGGCTCAGAATAGAAGCCAGTGGCGATCCTGCTGTAACCTTCTTTTACTTTCTTCATAAAAAGTGGTTGTGTCTCCTTTACCTGAAAGATTTCTTCTGATTGTACCTTTTCGTTCCGTCGTTACTACCACACTACCTTACTCCAATCTCTTCGTCATTGTTCTCTTTTTCTTTTGCGTTCCTTAGTTTTTTTTTCTTCTTTCTACTTCTCTTCGAATTCCCATTGTTTTGTGTGGCGCATATATATTGGCGCTCTATTGTACCAATATTTATGTGTTCAAATAAATAAAATAAATAAATAAAAAATCGATTGCAGCCTCTCGTAGAACTGATCTTTATTGTCGTCATTGCTATCATTGTTGTGTGCATAACATTGGATAACATGCATTGTGATTCCGTCCTTCTTTGTTTTGAAGGATGCTTTGATGATCATGGATCCATGAGATGCCCATCCTATAAATGCATTTCGTGCTTGTTTGGACAGCATCAGAGCCACTCCCTCAGTGTTTGGAGCATTTCCCTTTTCGTGACTGGAGTACAGCAACATCTCTCCCGAATCTAACCTTTTCTGTCCAGTTTGGGTCCAATATGTTTTGCTGATTCTGAGCACCTCCATGTCGTATCTCCTCATTCCGTAGTTATTTGACTGGTCCTTCTGGTCTCCCACATTGTCTGAACATTCCATGTAGCTATATTAATTGTTGGTCTGATTTTTAGATGGTTCATCGACCTCGTGACTTCCGAAGAATCTCAGCCTTCGTTATGAGGCGTCATAATTCTTCCTGTAACTCGGAGAGCAGAGTTTAGATGGTTTAGATTGTTTATTCTGTTTAGGGTTTTTTATTATCATTTCTTCTACGGGATGGGGTTGGCTTCCCTATGCCCTACCCTCCTTCTTACTTGGGCTTTGGACCGACAGTAACTTTAGAAGAGCTGCAGGCGGCGTTCCGGAACGACAGAATAAGATATAATTCGTTAGGGTGATTACTTGGCTCAGACTCCCATCGCTTTTTCGTTTCAACAAAGCCTAGTTTGCCTGACCGTTATAAATTATCGTTGATGCAATGAACAGGGTGTAAACGATCAGTTCCATTTTCTTAGCAGAACTGTTTAAAATAGTCTAAAAATAATTTGAAACCATGTTCTGTGATTGCTCGTCATGTGTTTAATAAAATTTCAGAAATTTCGCCTATTTAATGGTCAGAGTTCAGGATCATCAGATCCGCATTAATGATTCTTGTTATCCCTCTGTTTTTTCTACAAATATCATATAATGGAAAATTTATTCTTAAAAATTGCCATATAATTCAAATATATTCAGTTTATTCGGTAGGGGAATTCTTTTCAACGAGTTCTTTTACCAGGCTGTACAATTGTATGTTTACATATCTGATAAATTATAGGTCAACAAATAATTGCCTGTCAGTTGTAATTTGATTAGTTTTGTGTGAAACGTGACTACGTCTTTTTAAGTAAATAAATTGTTATTGAAACATGATAAATACACAACCAGATGGAAAATGTATCTGTTAGTATTGTTGAGATGAAGATTTGAGAATGATAACCAAGGTATCGAGGTAGAAACGGTCTTTGTAATAATAATAGTGATAGAAAAATAGAATAAATGAGAATCATCTCTGTAAACTCAATAGTGAACAATGAAAAGAGAAGGAACAATGAAATAAATAAAATAAAACTGCAAATTACAGCCATAGTAAAAAGTTGGATCTAACAAATTGTTTTTGTACTCATAAAATTGTGAATGTCTAAAGCTTTCCGTATTATAAAGTTAAGTACATTTGACTAAATTCTACCTAGATGTCTTGATTGTTACTCTCAAATCATCATTTAAATTGAATGATACTCACAGATATACTTCCTACCCTGTTGATTTGTAATAAGCCCATTTAATTATTTTATAATTTACAATAATGAAATAATACTCATTGAGTACACGCGTCACATAATAGTTATATAATAACACATCGATTATAAACTAACATTGAGTAATTGGAAGAAAGAGGATTAATAATAATCAAAGTAATTATTATTTGTCTACCACTAAGAAAACCAGCTGCTTCGGTCTGGGCACCCGGGCAGTATCATAGCCCTCACACAAACCTGATGAGATGACAACTGTGCACACTCCAATCAGAATTCACACATTTCACATTCACTTAATAATAATAGCCGATGGGGACTTGTTGGTCGCAGGTCAGATAACGGGGACTGTCTACTGCAGCTGTGCACAGACCACAATCTGTTTCTGGCTAGCAGTAACTTCCGGCATAGTCATCGCCAGATGTACCACTGCCGCTCCTTTAGGAGTACCTCTCTGGACCCTGATCATGCCGTTGTTTGCGCCAATCTTACCTTACTTTTCACTAGCCAACGGATTTGTCAGTAAATTGATTGCAGATTGTGTAGCAAATAAGTATCGAACCGAGCTAGCTTCTAGGCTAGCTACTATCCCACCGAAAAGTATAAATAAGCATTGGTTAGAATTGCGTGACGCCATGAAAATGGTAAGTTCGTTTGCAGCTTCGCGAAACGTCCCGATTATAAGCGCTGGGATTCTTCAGGCTCCTCACAACTTATCGAAGCCCGTCGGTCTACTCAGGGTGACCGTGAGTTTGACCACAAACGAAGGACGTTACGTAATGAAATTGAGCAAAGCTTGCGTAAGGACCGAGAAGCCTGGTGGTCGGAGCATGCTAATGAGCTGGAAGCAGCAGCAGCATCTGGTAACTACCGGAAGCTCTTCCAACTCATCCTAGCCACTGGCAGCAAGAAGTCTGATGTGAGCGAAACAATCTACGAGGATGGAAGTCCACAAGGAACTCCGATTCTTGAAGCGCTACAAATCACCGTGCCCAGATGACTTACCTCCGAATCTTTTTAAAGATGGTGGTGGCTTTCTGGCTAGGGAACTGACTGTTGTTTTTAAAGGTCTGGGAACTAGAGAGTGTACCATCGTCATGGAATGAGTCGATAATTGTCCCTATCTTTAAAAAGGGTTCACGTTGTTCCTGTAACAAATATCGGAGGATAAGTCTACTTGCGATTGCGTCTAAGCTATTGGCTTCCGTCATACTTCGTAGGTTGTTCAAAACACGAGAAAGATTGACTCGCGAGAAGTAGGCTGGTTTTCGTTCTGGTCAGCGATGTATTGATCACATCTACACCCTCCACCAAACACCTGGAAAAAGACTTGTCGACCTTGAGTATGCGGATGATATTGTCTTACTGTGCGATAATACCCAAGCCATGCAACCTGCACCTCATCAGTTGGCAATTAATGTCTGTAGGTATGGTATGTGCTTTGCACCTTCGAAGTGCAAAATACTTCTACAAGACTGGCAGGATTCTAATCTTGTACTCACCCTGGATGATGAGCAGATAGAAGTAGTCGAGAAGTTCGTGTATCTGGGTAGCTGCATAAGTGCTGGTGGTGGCGTGAGTGATGAAATCAATGCACGTATAGTGAAAGATAGAGTGGCTTATGCCAATCTGGGTCGTCGTTGGTGCCTTCGTGATGTTAGTCTGACTGTAAAAGGTCGGATCTACAACGCGTCGATGAGAGCAGTTTTGCTCTATGCTTGTGAAACCTGGCCTCTCCGAGTTGAGGATGTTCAACGACTCTGTGTTTTATCATCGTTGTATCCGAAGGATTGCTGACATCCAGTGGCAACACCATGTTAGTAATGCAGAGGTATGGCATCGTGTATTTGGGCGCAGAGACGATAATTCAATTGGTGTCACCATCTTGAAATATCGACTTCAGTGGCTTGGACATGTTCTACGAATGTCGTCTCAGAGAATTCCACGTCGTGCATTATTTACCGTCACTGTGACTGGTTGGAAAAGGCGGGGAGGTGGTCAGTGTATGACATGGTGTCGTGGTATGAAAGAAAGCCGCATAGGACTGGCTTGTGTTGGTCCTTCACGACTCCTTGGTTGGTGTCCTAGAGATGGTGCAACGCAGTGGCTAGAGACTTTGTCAGATATGGCTCAGAATAGAAGCCAGTGGCGATCCTGCTGTAACCTTCTTTTACTTTCTTCATAAAAGGTGACCATAACTTATTCAACTGAAAAAATTGTTTCTGGTTGTACCTTTCCGTTTCCCCCATTATTATTATTTCTCTACCATACACTAATTTGTGGTCGCTTTTGTTCCGTCTTTTACACACACCTTACATCATTTATCTCTTCCCATTCTCATTATTATTGTATGGCGCATGTGTATCTGGTGCCCCCGTGTACCAATATTTATGTATTCAAATAAGTAAATCAAATGCTCAGTTAACGGGATATTATTTATTAGAGTCAGATATAAGGGAAATAGCCTTTGCAGATTATAGGTTATTGTTGTCAACGTAATACGTACTCGACGTTCTTCAGTCTAAGCACGTGAGGATTACTCACTGATGATCTTTATATAATGAATATAATTAAGTGTTTAATATTTAAATAACTGATGTGCTTATTAGATTATACCTATTTTACTGCATATATATAGTGAGTAGCAGTGACCAATTAAGTTGAGCAACCATTTCGGATTTGAGGAAGATACGCATCGAAGACAATGGTAGGTAATACTATTTCGCTGGTTGATTGAAACTAGACTTTTATACCATCAGATTCTGACTTGGTGGTTTAGAGATTAGGCGTTCGCGTATCAGTACGAGGTTCTTGGGCTTGATTCCCGATCGTACAGTCGTGGATGCGTACTGCTGGGAATTATAGTATTAAGACGAAACGGCTTTCTTGTAGTTCAAGGTTTTTGATGGTGTTCCAACTGTATTCGGTTCGTGATATTAACGAGATTTAACAATTTTCTCAACTCGATGCCGATCTATGTAAAAACATGTGTTTTTACTTTTCAATTTAATTCATTTTCTTTGTACGAATTTACTAAAAAAAACACTGTCCTTTATGCTTTAGTTACATCTTTCCCCATTGAAAGTGGATTTGAAGTGCTTGCCAATGTGAATTCCATGGAAGAAATGCAAAATATGCTAGATGCACGTTTTTCAGATGCTTATGCTGTTTATAATCTTAGTAATCGTCCATATCGTTCAGATCATTGGTTTCATGGTAGAGTATCACATCGTGGTTTCGAAGCACACCGTGCTCCAGCGCTAAAATCATTAATTGAATTATGCTTAAATGCAAGGTTATGGTTAGCTCAAAAATCGAACAATATTTGTGTTATACATTGTACCGATGGTAAAACATTGTCCGCAGTACTAGCATGTTCCTTATTATGCTTTTGTCGGGTATTTGATAACGCGTCACCTGCAATTCAATTGTTTGCATCGAAACGTGGCAATCCTGGCTTGAATGCATCACAGATTAGGTATAAACTATTCGTTCTAATTTTTGTTCCTGTATTAATTGTGTTTTCTGTATATATTACACGTGAAGTTGTCATTAACTGTCTTATCCTAGCATTTAAAAGATTTAATGAATTGTAAACAAACTAACTGTATTTCGTTTTATTTCAGGATTTCATGTAGTAAAAAGGAGATAAGTGTGATGAATTAACTCAATGCCGTCAATCGAATAGCTAATGACAAGCATTTAGAGTAATAAACTATAGAATCAAAATCTAGGATAAAAAAACCCATAAATTATAAAGTGTTACAAACAGGATTAATATTTGGAATCTATGGATTCGAGCAACTTTCGACAAATTTATAATAACAGCATACATGATGCTTATTCATATATTTATTTACAATTCCCCACTCGTTGATTTAAAGAGATTTTACTTTACTTTGAGACAATTAGTTAGAGACTTTGGCGTATTCTAATCATATTCACTGCATAATCATTGGAAATTTAATTCTTATTAAAATGCATTTTTTCAACAAGTCTCAGTGTTGTCAAATAAAGTACGTTGTGGAAGTTTTTGGGATGATATTCGTAGCACATCTTCAAGCCACCGAAGCCAGTATTTCAAGATTGCGACACAAAGTGAGTCATCATCACTGTGCTCACACAAAAATTACTGAACATCCGCGTTACGGAAATGTTGTTGATACACGATAGACATCTCTCTACTTTCCCAGTTTCACTGACTTGATCAGAATGACGGTAGTTTCTGATGGAAATTGTTTGAAGTTAAATGAATAGTCAATTAAGCTTGTATGGTAATCATAGACTAACACACTGGCTGACAAAGCAGTGATCAATGGCGGTGCCATTAGAGTACAGGGCGTCTTAGTCATATATACACCTGTTTGTTTATGTGATAACGGAAACTATCTCCGAACTAAACGAATTTCTACAAACAAAAAAACTATCTGTTAAAAAGGTCTTACTAGTGGGTGTTTATTTTGAAGCTATTATTCAATCTAAATGACACATCATGTTTAAATTATTCCCTTTATTTCCATGGATATTTATTTTCTGACACTCATTGTCTTATTGATTGTTTTATTTAATGAACGTACGTAACTAAATCAATTGAATGAACTCTAATTGATTTTGTTTCTTCTTTTCCTACTTGTTCATGCAGATATATCAACTATGTAGCTCAGTTAAGTCATAATCGTGTATTTACACCTCATCATTTCCCATTGAATCTTATCAGTTTGATAATTGCACCGGTACCAACATTTAATAAATCCAAGTAAGTACTCTCTTCATAAGTTCATGCTAAATTATGTGTATCTTTAATTGTTTTTGTTTTGATTGTCAGTGAGCGATATATATCAGTCAGTCAGTCAGCTACAACGTAGGACCAGGCACATATGTGCATCGGTCCAGGTTGCCATACCGCATCAGCACAACAAGATGAACACCGGATTCATAGCAGTGGTTAGGTCAAAGGTAGTAATATGTAGGAGAAAGATTGCATATAGAGATATAGTACAAGAAGAAAGAATTGGTTCGTAGAAAGAAAGATATGAAGCAATTTTAATCTCTTAGTTTAAGGGAAGACAGGGAGTGTATACACCGACGCCATTGTGATCGATTCTGAGCCATGTCACCAAGAGTCTCCAACCATTGGTTACGATAGTCACGCGGACCCCAACCAAGTAGTCTGCATCTACCAACATGGCTCAGACTAGAAGTTAGTGACTTCAAGCACTGATGCCACGTTTTGGTTTGGCCGCCCCTAACTTTCTTCCAACCATTTCCAATACCGGATAGCATTGCACATCGTGGTAATCGGTGTTCAGGCATACGTCACACGTGGCCCAACCATCTCAGTCGATGAAGATTCATAACCTCATCAACTGATTTACCATCATTCCCTAATACCCTGGGTCTAACCTCACTATTACTTACCCGGTGATCCCAGCAGACGCCAGCAATATTTCTAAGGCATCTGTGGTCAAATACTAATAGCTTACGAGTGTCTTCTACTCTTAATGGGCATGTTTCGCTGCCGTAGAGTAAGACAGAACGAACTGCCGCGCAGTATACTCGTCCTTTTATTGATAGACGGATATCTCGCCTTCGCCATAGGTGGCGCAAGTTGGCAAAAGCCAAACGAGCTTTTCGAATCCGTGCTGAGATTTCGTCCGATACCAACCCATTAGGGCTGATCAGACTTCCAAGATAAGTGAAGTTGTCAACGCGTTCGACTACTTCATTCCCTATCCTTAGTTCAGGTGTTAACGCAGACCAGTCCTGAAGCAACAACTTGCATTTAGAGGGAGAGAAGCGCATTCCAAACATCCTGGCATTGTTGCTCAGTGCTACCAGAAGACTCTGCATTCACCAAACAGGACTATGTCATCTGCGTATTCTAAGTCGATAAGTGGACCTCCTGGTAGGAGATCAATACCCGAGAGCTCAGTCGACGAGAAAGTTATTTCCATCAGTAGACCTATGATGAAGTTAAACAAAAATGGGGAAAGTGGACAGCCTTGACGGACACCACTTGAGGTTGCAAAAGTAGATGACAGTTCGCCATAAGCTCTGAATCGACTAGTAGTGTTCGAGTAAAGAGCCTTTACAAGGTTTATGTACTTCTGGGGTACGCCTTTCAATGACAGACACTGTCACAGAATCTCGCGGTCTACCGAGTCAAATGCTGCTTTTAAGTCGAGAAAGACCACCATTGTCGGACGTCGATAAGTATGCCTGTGTTCTAGAACCTGACGAATGGTGAATATGTGGTCGATGCAGCCACGACCAGGTCTAAAGCCAGCTTGGTTCTCTCATGTTTGCAGTTCATGAGTCTTAGTTAGGCGTCTGATAATTATCGAGGCTAGTATTTTAGATATTATATTAGTTAAACTAATCCCTCTGTGGTTGTCACAGGATGATTTTGACCCTTTCTTATATATTGGGACGATAAGTGATTGTGACCAGTCAGATGGAATAACGTCTAACTCCCAGGTCTTAGCTAAAATATTAGTCAGCCTAATCGCTAAAATTGGACCAACATCCTTAAACACTTCTGGAGCCAATCCATCTGGACCAGCTGCCCTTCCTTGTTTCAGATTAACTATAGCCTTTTGAACTTCAGCAAGAGTTGGGGGACCTACTTCAATGTTCCATTTACACTGTCTGGGAATGGAGGGTAGTTGTGGAGTAGCTGAACGCCAGCTGAACTGTTCTCTGAAATGTTCCGCCCATCGTTCTAAACGTCTGGACTGGGAGCAGATGAGTGTATCGTCTTTTTCCGATATAATCTCACTTACACTTGACTTATTAATTCCAGTTTCTTTTATTAGCGATATATATAAAAACTATCCTGAGTGTATTGTAGTTGGTATTGCACTATCAATGAGTTTGTACTTGTTTTCTGTTATTACTGCCATGTACTAGATTAGGAATAATTGAATTTTTAATTTGGTGTTTGTCATAAATCGATTTTTTGTTTTAATAGTCATTAATTAACGTGGATTATATAGACCACTTTGTTTTATTTTTGTCAATTCTAACTCATTATTATTGGTACTTTTTTGATTGATAGATCTCAACTCAGTTAAATAATCTTAATACATTAAAATTTTGACTGAATCTATTTAAAATCCTCGTTGACTTGTGAAAGATAGTTATTGTAATGATTAGATAAATTTAATTAAATTAGGTAATTATTAACAGTTGAACCCAAGATTCACTTTCTGTTCTATTTCGGACTCGCCAGTTGAGTGTATCTGCATCCCTACGTTGATGGTTGGATCGATACTCAAACTCAGTTCTTTTCGCTTCAAACTTCAATTCCTTTTTCGCCGAACAACGGAGTCCGGTTGGACACTAGTTCTTACAATCGGTATCTGTCTCATTTGCAAGAGTTCATTTTTTCCTGTTGTTTAATTTAAGGACTAAAATTGATCGGTCTACAATGGAATAGATACATCCTGATTGGCTCGGTTTAATATTGCCTTTTAGTCAGATACTTGTGTTCAATTTGACTAGTAGCCAACAGTATAAATCAGGACGCTGTTTTTGTCTTATTTGGTACTAGTTACTCGAACAAATATTCTTACTGATTTGTTATAATTTATTTATTTATTTAAACACGTAATCATTGGTACAAGGAGGAAGCAATTATATGTGCGCCACACAAATCTTTTGAATTTTGTAAGGGTTGGGATACTGTTCGAGCGTCCAAACCGAAGCAGGTACTTTTCTTAGGGGGCCACTCCCCGAGCCTTCGACCTAAAGGTCTATTCCACAAGGCATTGGAGCAACGTTAGGAGATTCAGTCCCATAGTAGCCGGTGACCAACAATAGGTTCGTACTTTATGTGTTCCCTGAGGATCTTGGAGTCCATGTGCACCATTGGTTTGGAATCAGGGTTTTCCAACTCCCCTAAGTGGATACAGAGGATTTGGACTCGTAAATTAACATGAAATTTATAAAAAAAGAAATGCAACACATTTACCATATACAGTTCTACGTACTCACTTTTCAACTTCAATGTCTATATTGAAGCTTAGTGATACTTTCCTATGAGATTGCCTGAATCAAAGAAGGTTATATTCGAAGTTAATAATAGCAATTTTCTTATTATAAAGATTGTACTTGTTTTTCTTGAAAATATTTCAGAAATGGATGTCGACCGTATGTGGAAATATTTGAAGGAAAGACCAAAGTATACTCAACTTACGCAGAATACGATAATTTAAGGTTATTATTATTATTATTATTATTATTATTACTATTATTATTATTATTATTATATAGGCAGAGATAGATGGTGACTCATGAGTCCATATAGCTAGTAACTATTGAAATGGAGTGAAGTTTAATTCACTTGTATCGATTGTTTGAATCTTTCCTTTGGTGTTTAGAACTGCCATTCACAGAGAACGCTCATATGCAAAAAGTGACTGATCATTTCTAGTCCCAAACATCAATGAGAAGGTTGAAACAACCGATTCAAATGTGTTTCAGTTGTTGTCTACTGTTTTGCAGAAATTTTTTTGTTTTTGGTTATTAGGCCACTTTGTTGAAAAATTTAGTTTGGGTTTATTATTATTAAGGTATTTATCAATATATTTTTTACATAAAATCAAATTTCTTATTCATACGATAACCCTGTTTAAAGTTAGAAAAATAAGAAGACCTCTGTGATCATTATAGTTCATCTAGTAGATAGCATCGATTTCATTGTCGGCTAAGTCAAATGACGAATTTTTCGAATGAGGACAAAGCTTCAAACATTCTAAATACAAAATTTAATCAAATTGTAACATTATTTTTTTCAAAACAGGGGAACAACAGAAAGGAAATCAGTAGAATGCATAGAGGTGATTAATGTTAGCAGGATTTTTTATGTCTTACTTATAAACAACATAGTAATCGAGAAGGTTGTGCACCCTTTTAGACTGTCTCATTTTACATATGTTCAGCAAGAGTCAATAAATGAGATGAAGGATAATTGAGGTTCTCCACTGTATTCGAACAATTTTTCTAAGATATTTGTTTTATTAGTTACAAGCAGTCTACTGCTCTTAATGCTATAGACTTCACTTTACAACCATAAAGAATCACTACATTGTATACTCATCGTTTGATAGCCAGATGGACACATCTTGTTTGAAATGCAGATAATACAAGCTTGGTAAAGTGTTTGGGACGTTAGATCCCCAGAACTCACTTGGAAAAGGACCTAATTTTGTAATTTTATTTAGAAAATTTGAATTTCTTTGTTTTCGCGCCAAAAGCGCTCTTTTCGCCTTCATGTCGTATCTTCCACTTGGTAGAATCTTAAACGCTATTGGTCTGTTGTGTCTTTTAGTATGCTATTTTGTAACTCTCCCCAAGGACGGTTTTGTGCTGTACGTATACGTTTTGATTTGTGTCTGTTGTTATCGCTTGTTTTCTGGCTGTTTGCGGAATATACTTCGCCATTCCAAGCTTGGACTTCTTCCTCTAGTTAGCTGGGTCGGGACGTATCAAACAGCTAGCTTATTGGTCCATGGTCACAAGTCTTTGTTCCGTTCGCAGTCTAAGTGAACTCGTAACCGCTTCAAACCTAGCACAAAGGATGAAATCAAGTCGGCTATCAATCCATCGGAGATGATGAAATCTACAAGATCTGAAAAATCGTCAATATGACCAGTTATCCCACAACCTATGACCAAATTAGGTAAAGACACAAACCAATTGCTAAGCAATATTGCACATTTAGAAAGAAAGGGAAGCATTCTAAACACTTTCGAAGAACTGCTACATTTTGTTAGTATCTCTTCTAATTAGGACTGTGCCATCTGAATATACCAATTAGATATACCACAACGGTAGGTTATCGAGTGGTAAATTAATGTAGCATTGACGAAGTAAATTTCTGTGTATTTTACCTTGAATCACACTATGTTTGATGGATAATGGTTCTACGTTTCCTCTCAAATTAAATTGTAATGTGGGATTTTAACACAGTAGTTGTTTTCTAACTACTATAGTAAATTAGACTATCTGGTCCAACAGATTCTGACTATGTGTTTTGTATTTATGGAAACATTTACACTAATGAGTACAGTTTCATTTCCAATCCACTGAGTACGTTGATGTTACTTATAAATGACTGACGATTATTCCTGTGCATCGGTTGATATCCATGAAAAATAAGACAATAAATCTCGCTTTCCTTTCTTTTTTTGTTGTGTCCTAAACAATAATTTAAAAACGATAACTTATTTCCGTCAAGTGGCTGATACGTCAACTATTGTGCAGAACAAAAACGTCATTACATTAGTGCAGCTCAGTACACAGTAAATTTTTTGTGAAACCTAGTAATAATACCTAGTGTTTTAGTCTGAATCAGCAAATTAGTGGTTGACAATCAAATGATCGAATGCCTTTGAAGCAACAGATAATCTGACGACATAAATTTTATTAGTTTCGACTTTTACGTGTTTTTATGATAATTATTTGTACTTGTTTTGTCGTTATTTTGTGATAGATCCTATGTTCTTGAAGATGGAAAGATCCAAATACTTTTGAATGGATTAACTGTCTTAGGTGATCTTACAGTTATCATTTATCATTGTCGATCTTCATTTGCTGGACGTGGCAAGGTAATATCTACCGTATTTACTTTCATACCCTTTTGTTTACAAATATTACTACCTATGTTTCATATTTTTTATACTTAAAAAATTCACTTACTCCCAGCAGTAATTATTCATTTTACTCTAAAACACTGGTAATTTTGCTCTGAAATATAATCCATCCGTTGTTTACAATATCATTTGAAAATTCTATTTTATAGTTGTGTAAAGGTCAATTTTTAAATCATCTATTCTTGCGTGTACACCAAATCGACTTTCTGAACATTTGGGTTAGGTTTGCATTGTATAACAGCACACTTATTTCGTGTTCAAATTGTTTGCATACTGCTGAAATGTGAGATGGTAGTATTTTCTGAGTTTTTGTTTGTAGTAAATTTAGTAGTGAATGATACCCTGTTTAACTGCAAGTATCTTTATTGTTCTAAAGAAGTAATTACAATTTATCCTATCAAAAGTAATGCATTTTCTAAATGCAAATTAGCTTAGTTTACAAATTTTATAGGAAATCTTATCAAGAATCTACTTGTATTGTACTATCCAGGATGACATATTAAACATTATCACTTCATTAGATCTGAAGAAATATAACTATCTTATAAATAACTTATTGTTGTGTCTTGTTATCGAAGTTCAGTACGGCCTACGATGTTACAAATTCAGGGACAAAAACGACAGGGCTTTTCTAATACGGTCGGTTCTCTTCGGAACCGACAACAGTCAATCATACTCAACACATCAAACCTCGACGGCTAAGACGGGAAGGAGACGGAATTGCAGGTAACTTGATATTTATGATAGAACAAGCAACCCAAACGAAATCGGTACAAAAGTTGTTACTATCTTAGCAGAATGTGACCTTCGAGGATGTAATAATTTAGCGAACTAAAAGAATATGACAATCAATCAGAGGGCAAACGGATATCGTTCCAGAAGAGATCTAGCCTTTCTAATAAAGTCTGACTATTCTTGTGACTGCCTTAGCACTTATTCAATATTAAGTACTTTTTTGTAATGATAAATTGTACAATAACTGTGATATATTAATTGTATTCACTGTTGTACAGTTGATTCTAACATTGTCTACATTGGTAATTACTGGCTCATTCCATTGTGAATGAATAAAATCATTATCAAACAAAAACTTGAAGAAGTCATGATATTAGTAACGCTGAGAATGCCAATTTAGAACTGCCGTAAACTATAGATAGAATGTGTAAGTACGTTCTGATTACTGTTAGCCTTCTGAAACTGTACTACCTAAAGTACTTCCAGTTTTTGGGGACAGAATAGTTGTGCTGACTTCAGTGACTTAACTGGTATCCTAACTTCTGATCAACTCATAATATATCCCTTCATTCTTGTTTTGATCAACACTATCCGTTATCAAACTGATGATAGTAACACTAGACTGATTGAACATGTAATTGAATATATTCGGTTCTGTAATAAAATCTTTTTTTTGTTTTAATCATTATTACATTTTGTTAGTTTACTTACTGTTAACTAATAATTGATTGAGTAAAGTGTACCGACTTGTTTTTTCTGCACATTTATGCCAAATAAGTTCATAAATTACAAATTCTGTTTTTTATATGTATAAGTTCCTACTTAAAATTCCAAATTATTCATGATATTTGTGTTCATGACATTTCATCATGGACTGAATCGAAACATCTAGTATTTTTATTATATCTCAATCTCATGGTTATATAAGGTAATTTTGTTTAACTGAATAACTGAGATCTTTAACCTTGTGAACTAATCAGCTTCATTTTATGAAAAGCCATATCAGAATATAAGATTACATTGTTACATAAGATTAGTTACTTCAATATGTTTCACATGTGTGTATGCACTCGTTCAACTATCAATCTAAGTTCATTAAAATGACAGTTATTTTTATCTTATGAACCAATCATTATCAATTCGGTCTACTTTGCCTAACATATTGATTTAATTTATTATTTATTATGTAAATTATTAGTTTCTTTTTGTGATTTCCTTTTAAATAAATAATTTGTTATTCGATAATTATAGTTAAAGCATAGTATGAGTAAAGGAAACAATCAGAGTAGAGGAAATTTTCTCCGAGTTTTGTGCCAAAATTAAAAGTTTAATAGATTTGATCCTCCATCACAAAAAATATATGCAATAGAAATACCTTCTGTCTAGTGTTTAGAATGCTTAAATTTGGTTGAGAAAGTTCTTCTTTTCGTAAAGTAAAAATGATAATGTTCAACTTATTAACTGCTCAATGTATTATCTGTCAATTTTACAGAAAATGAATCACTTTTTGTCATTTACTTTGATTATGGTAACTTTGCAAAGAGATTATTTTATTAATGATTAACTGAATTATAATTGATAGGCAAGTATAATAGGAACGTTGAAATAGATGACGATTTTCTCGCATGAATTGTTCATGTCATTATGGTGACAATCATGGGTGACTTACCATTTCATCTCTTTAACTCGAACAAATTGATCAATAATGATTTTGTAGTCAATGATAAACTTACATTCTGAAACTTTTTAAGGTTATGAGAAAAATCCAAAAATTAACTGTTAACGTGAATAATTTCCCTTTCAGATTTATGCTGCTTTATGTAGTGGTACTTCTACAAAAAGATTGATAACAAACCATAGATTACTGAACTTTATAAAACCACTAACAAGTCTCACAAGTTCTTTTGTAAAATACCTACACAGAATCTCCGTTGATTGACTGTCTATTGACTTTAATTTACATAGTCATTTTAGGAGCCATTCAGGTTCGTCTCTATGCTGAACTTTTACTAAACTTATATTAATTCCGACTTATTATTTTTGTATCACAAACTTGCATCTTCATTTTTTCGTTGAAAATAGTGTATGTTGTCAATGACATATGTGGATATGTGTTGCTCCTCTCATATTATTCTTTTGTTATAGATCAGTTCAGTGAAGATCGCTCAGTTTCAATTACACACTGGATTTGTAGAACATAATTTAACTGAACTAATTTATTTTAAGTAAGTCATTTTACACATAGATTTTAGGAAGTGGTTTTTCTTTTTGATTTTTGAGAAATTGATTTTTTTTCAATCTCTTTACGTGTTTAACATCAAATGTGTAAATGTGGGTTTTTCTACGTAATAATATTAAATTGTTAAGATGGCAATCTTTATGAGAAACAATGTATATCTGCTAAATCTCTTGTACAAACTATTACATTTATTGGCAATATAATTTCAATTGTATTCAAGTCTAATAGCATGTACCTTAGATTATTGATTCATACTTCCTTGTGTCTCAGGCATAATATGAATTGTCTGTACAATATGAACTGACCTTGTGACTGACCATAAAAAAAATAAAACTAATCAAGGACATTTATGAGTCAATGATTACAATGAAGTAGATCGCATAACTACACATAATTGGTAAAAAGTACTAATTCATAGTAAGAAGAGATGTGTACTAGTTGTAATAATAAGAATAACAAGAGTTCTAGTCAGTAGTTCAACATAGTAACTAGGTTGAACTTGGATAGGTAGACGTTGAAATAATAACCACATATTATTATTACCATTTGTAGTTTGTCGTACAATTATTGTGATTTGAAACTAACATGTCTAACGTTTTGTGTCTAAATGTAGAAATGTGGGTTTGAGGAACAAAACGCTACAATTTTTCATTGGCAACAATGGTTATGGCGCACATTGTAGACACCAAACTGATTATAAAGAAAATCCCAAATTTTTGTCTAATAATGTGAAACATGTGTCAGTCAGTATATTGATGTGGTTCTAATTAGGATTTCCCTGTCTTTTTTTCAGTTAGCAAATAAGCACTATATGAACCGATTGTATCTAATTGTTTGCTTTATGAGAAAGTAAATATATGTACACTTGGTCACCGAATTGTTACATTATCTCTTGTAAACTCAAGTTAGCTAATTGAAGACTCCAAGAATGGAAATGACCTATGATAGTTTTAAATTAAACCATTAAATGTCAACTTTTGTTCCAATTTTAGCTTCATTTCACTGTCTAACGTTTAATAGAAATACAATTTTTATTCAGAAAAATAAATGTTATACATTAACTTGACTGAAAATATCTCTCATAGACAGATAATTTATGTACTATTGAGATAAAAAGTCGCCAGTTTCCAAGTATGCACTACTTGACATATATTTTGATATCCATTTGTTTTTTACTGTCATTAAATTCATTATGCCCTTTATATATAGCGAATTCAGAAATGAAAATTCCTGTTTTGTTTTGTTTGTATTTCTAGTCTTCTATTGCATACGGATATAATTTGAACAATGCGAAATACTACATAAATATTCATCCGTAATCATTCTTACCTCACTTTACATTAGGTTTTCTTTATAACACATCGGTCTAATTGGATGGAAAATGATTCGGTAGCACTTTTGTTGACTTTACTTATGTACATTAAATTTAATAAAATGGAAAGGAACGATCCGATGTAAGCTGTTATTATAGCTGTTTGTAAACAACGATCTAATATCATTCAAAAATTCCACGTAGATAATGCTAATCATATTTGACACATCTTCCACAAAGTGAATCGCTTTGTGCGTTTTTACACTGAATTCTTGAACAGGTGAATTTCTATAGTTAGCAAATATCTGCACTTTTATCTTTAAGCAATTGTTACCGATTGATTATCCGTTTTCATTTATTTCTGACATTAATTACTTCATCATCGCTTTCATAATGTCCACTTTATCTTTAATCTCATCGACGGCCTATTGAAAACTGCTGACGACAGGTATACTACCCTTGGTTTCCATAGATTTCTCATCTTCAGATCACTTTGTGACAGGAAGTAATAAATAAATGCTTTTCTTCAAGTTTTGGATTAATATACCACTATGTATTGATTTTTCATTCGCAAAAACATTTGCCCCTATGCATCATTACATATTACTTTTTGTTTTTTCTCAATTTCTCTTCAACAGATCCGATTTAGATCATCTAGATAATAGTAGCAGCTTTGCCGGTTTCACTAGTCGTTATGCTGAAAGTTTTCATGTTACATTGGAATTTATGGTTTCACCAACTGAAAGACCAAGACAAAGTGACAATCTTGTTTATCCGTGGGAAACTTTGCCATCAAATGATCTACTTAGTCCTAAACTCTGTGTATCAAATCATGATGAACTGAAAAATATCTTATCTGATTACGGTAAATAAGAATACATAGAATGGTTTTATGCATAAATATTTGACGAATTTTCACTGTGTTTGTATTGCATTATTTATAAAATGATGATCATTGATACTGTTCTTGAGCAAAATGAATTCAATCGTATATTCATATTGTGAGCATCAGCTGTGTAAATAATTTCCTATTAAAATTAGCTCTCCTTGTTAAATAACCATGACAGGTATAATGATAATTGTAATAATTCAAAACGTAAATGTATTGCTTATATCCAATATATATCAAGTTTTGATTTGGTTAGCTAAGCAGTATAAATCAATTCATAAAGTATCAAAATATACTTTTGACTAGCCAACTTATCTTCAATATGTAACTTTTCTCGGTGATTATTCCTCTGAATAATTTCATTTACCTTGAAAATTAGAAAACACAAATGAGTTTGTTTATTCAGTTACTGAGATTATTTATTGTGTTGAAAAAATTCACTTGTTAATTGGTTTAATTTTTAGAAAGTGAAACTATATCGTAATTCAGTAATATGTCAAGTATTTTTAATGTGTTTTCCTCTATAATTTCTTTTTATTTCAGAGATATCTTCCGTTTCATGGTTGAGGTTATCCACAATGCTTTCGACGTTCACTAATTGTATCATACCTAGCATTTTCAGTTATTATTTCTGCATTCATTTAGTAACCGGGTTCTGTGTACTTTTCATCAAAGATGTTGCTTCAAGTCTTGATCTTGATCTTGAACGACACTTCACCCGATATTTCGATGACAGACGAACGAGAATAACGTGAGACTCTTAAAATGGAATCTTAAATGAGAATTGTACTATAATCTGCTACATTTATTTACAAAATGAATGGGAATATTGCCGTAATTTCTGATGAAATAACTTAATTAGTGAACATTAAAAGCGTTGCGATAAACCTCAGCCATTTATTATTGGTTTAATCATAAAAGATGATGATGGTTACTTTTTTTTGTTTAAATCGTGTTTTTATTTTGACATTCTTCTTATTTCATCTTCCGAAAACAACTGATGGACCTAGGCCGTTTTAATCATAAACCATCAACTCGAATGTATGAAAAAAATAGTTTAAAACCTAATCAATCAAATAATCCATCAGAAAAAGATTGTATAACCACTAATATTAATAGCGATGAATCATGTAATTCAACAAACCAGTCCACTACAAATTTGTTTACTACTACTCATACCATCGGTGGTAGTACGGTTAATTTAAAACAAAATACAGAAATTAATGATATTTTAGTCTCAGACTTAATCAATGATAATGACATGCCAAAGAATCATAATTATACTTATTCATCAACTTCTTCTGATCATTCAAAACAGATTAACTACAATTTATTAAGTGATAAATTCTGTGGGGATTTTTTTTCGTCGTCCAAGAATCAAGATAATAATATGGTGAGTAATCTAGTTTTTTTATTTTTGTTTTAATTAATTTATTTTCACATTTTTGTCCTTCCTACTTTGACTGTAATTTTGATCAAAAACTGAAATCAATTGAATGACTCAGGAGAAAACTAAATTATTCTAATTGAGGTATTCATCATCATACTGGTTCGGCATAGTGAATAACTTCACTATGGAATTTTCCGACGTTCTAGTGGAGACCTGGGGTCTGTGAAGTCAGATATGTTTGGGGCGAAACCGTAACTCACCGATGTTGTTGAATGAGAATCGCTTCGCCTTGTGAATTGATTAAAGTTAAAAAATTGAACTGTTGGATTATGACTCATTGATAAATTTGCATCACCACCTCAAGATCTAAGGCCTTTGTTCGATCTCTTGTGATATCATGGGAACCTACGCTTAGAAACAAAATAGTTATTTAAAATTCAAATTGAAGTTTTGTCAAATCTTTTTTGTATATATAATCCTATTAGGATAAATATCAATAATGTTAATAACAATAACTTATTTAGACTTTTAAAAGTAAACAACTGTTTCCTCTATGTTGTTTTGAGTCATTTGTCTTATATTATTGATTTTCTGTGTTGAATACAGTCAATTTTTCGTTAGGATTTATATATATAGGATTTCATATATTAATGAATGTGCTTAGGGACTGAAGAATAATTTGTTACAATACTTTGGTTCATCCCCGAAAAACAACAATTTGAGTAGTAATGTTTCCTTCGATATTATCTTTGTATAAATTGCCACTACACTGTTCAAACAACCATCTGTTTACCAAGTAAAAAGTTTCCATATTTCTTATGGAATACTGAGTTTAACAGTTAATAACATCGTGAAATTGCATTGATTTGTTTATGTGTTTTTCACATTCAAGTCTCATTAACGTATTGTATTAGCTAGCCTAATATAAATGTGGTAAACACTGTTGTTTGTTTGCTACAAATCTGTATGTTTATATTCCTGTTTATTCCTTTACAGGAGGCAAGTTCTGATGACCTGCTTGGATTCCATGTGGAATCTTCATTTCCAAACACTGACAATGCTACTACTTCTCCTACTTCTTCTAATACTGATGATCATATTTTAATTGATGTAGCACAGAATCCTTTCGTAATTTATAATAAAAATTCACTAGATGAAATTATTACTTCATCAACAACTAGTCAGCATAGTAATTCAGATGATTTGAAACAAACTGATCAAAAACCATTTGTTGATGATATATTTAATTTCAACTCATCTGTTGAAGTCAATTCAAAAACTGATCTCGGTTGGGAGAATTTATTTGGTATCACGTCATCAGAAAGCACAAAGACCACTACTATCATCACCACTAGCCAAAGTACTACTACAAACAACATTGGCTTATCCAATAATCCTTTTGATCCATTTGGTATAGCCACATCAGAATTATCTGATTTCTTTTCAGTACCAAATTCTTATATATCAAGTGAAAACAACTCGACTACTACCACTACTACCATCCTTCCTGATAAAACTACCGCTACTAACTATTCTCCTCCTCCAACTACTAATACTAATACTACTACTAGCAAAGATTACTTTGGACAACAAGGTGGTCATTTAAGTGCCAGCGCCAGTGCTAATGATTTAAATCCGCTTTTCGCATCAGCTTCTTTTACAAATTTGTCTCCTAACGTTGAAACTATCCCAGACAAGACTACTAACACAGCAACTACTACTACTGGCATCAAGAATCATGATCGCCTAGATCCATTTGCAGATTTTGCTGATGTACTTCGAGATCGATTAAATAATCAAACTTCTTCCAGTACAAATGCTACAAATAGTGATAATACATATACCCCACCATCATCAAATAGATCATCCACAAACTTGGGTGGTTTTTCTGCTGGTCCCAGTCCGGCACATAATTTTAAATGTGAGCTTTTTCCAAATGTGATGAGATAATTCATCTTGCGTTTCATTACTACGCGTAAAGAACAGTAAATTTGATTCACTTTATGATGCTAAGTTAAAACACCAGATGAATGAAGTGTATCGAAATCATGAACTGATTTCGGTTAGACCACCATTGAAAAACTGGAAGCACTGAACGGCCGTTTCGTCTTATTATATGGCTCCAAAACAGTGCGCATCTACGACCCTGTACGTGTGAATCAATCCCAGGTCCTTGGGTCTAGCGCGCAAACGTTTAATCTCTAGACCATTGAGCCGACACGATGGTTTCAATCAATCCATGACATTGTGCCACCATTTTTATTATATTCGGTGGATGGGTGCGCACTACTGAGAATTCCCCTACTAGGACAAGACGACCGTCCAATGCTTTCAGATTTCAACAATCTCCAGAACATCTTTCTGTGAATGAAATTAAATCTGAAACATTAATAGAATGAACGTGATTCATGTTGAGTGATATCCTTAATTCATGGATTCAATAATTTGTCATGTTTGTATGTCTATTCCTTTTAATGTTGACGTAAGTGACAAAACAGCATAAGTTTATTATCATTGTCGTGCTTAATTCGATAAAAACTTACGAAATATAGAGGACTCAATTGTCACTTGATTTTCGGTTGTTTACGTATACAGTCTTAAATGAATTGATTAAAATAAACTGTACAGTAAAGTGTCGGTCTAAGTTCTCGCTCTTGTAAAGATTACGATTAGAAAATTAATGTAACTATATTTTGAATAACATTCGTTTGAGCAAACTATAGTGTAAATGTTTTTCTACGCGATGTCAATTATATCAATACACAACAATTATAGATTTTGATTGTACTATGAATTTCAACTGTATAGCTCTACGATTTGTTTCTAAACGACTCTTCCAATAAATCAACATTAGTTCATTTTGAAAATACATTGAATTCATTTGGTTGGAGATAGTCGGCTCGAAACTTTGGACCCAGGTCCTATATTAGTTAACATTCGTCAACGTGGCGTATTTGTATTCTTTAAGGAATTGGGTTCCACTGGTGAACTTAAATTTGAGCAGCCGAATCTCACTGTTTGTTGTATTATTTTGGATTCATATAGGCTGAGACTGACTTCCTGTAGGACCGATATATTTATACTGAATAATCACTAAGTATTGGCCAAGTGGGTGCTTCTCTAATCCTTTGTGCTGATCAAATTCCGTCGATCAAGTCCATTCATACTTTTTTTGAAAAAAATCGTTTTCATATTTTTAGCTAGTATCGACTCAAAGTTTATGAACAACTCTTCAAATTATAAGGAAAGTCCTGATAATTTATTCCATGGTTATGAGAAATCTAGTCAATCGTATTCTTCCTACTCCAATTTTCCTAATACTACTACTTCTGGATCTACATCAATACCAACTAGTGGAGGAACTGGTGCTAGACCTCATGTTAATAAAGATGCATTTTCTGATTTACTCGGTGGATTTGGTTCTTCTCGAACAAACAACACAGATGATAATAAACAACCGAAAACAGTAAATCAGATTCGTCGTGAAAAGATGGCTAAAACGGTCGATCCAGAACAATTAAAAGTAACTTTTTTTAATCAGAATTTTTCAATTTTGTTTAAAGTTGACAATTTTTTTAAGATTAAAAACTGCCGCTTTATCCATACTACAGTAACTGTTAATTTCCCCTCTGTCAAATCTTCAAACACAATCTCTGGTCATTATAAAGCTAGTAAATAATAATTATTGAAGACTGATCGTGGTAGCTTAATAGTTAATACACTTAAATTTCAGTTGTATGGGTTGTAAATTTGAGATCCATTACACTAATTTCGATAGTTTATCCCATCATATCTCACACAAAAGTATGAATCATCATTGAATACTAATTTACACCTTGAAAAATTTTGAATAATGTATATTAGTAATTGAATACTTAATGGCTCAAATAATTGACTCATGATTTGTGACTCATAGACACCAACTGACAGGTAATCAAATAGCTAACATTAATAAATTAACCCTAACTTTTGTGTTTTCGCCTACTTCATTAACAATAAGTCTCTTAACTTAGTGACTATTCCTTGTGCTACAACTGGTAGTTCACGTAATTCTCTAACCAAAACACTAAAGATTCGATGAATGCCTTCTAAAAATTTGTTATTCAGATTCGTTACTCACGAAATTATACATATTGCGCTAGGATCTAAGATTCTCAAGGAGTGCATAACTAGACTATTTCTTGATACAAAGATAAAGTTAACAGTTAATTGACCTGTAATTTGTGAACGGTAAACAAATTGTAACATCGAGATGATGGAGAAGATTTGTAGCTCAGGTGTATGATTTTGGAGTTTTGTTCTCAGGAATCATTGTCTCAGTGGTATGACAGATTTCCATTCGAAGTAATAGTTAGATGGGTTTGGGCCTCGTTGTGAACATCAAAACTGCGATCCAGAAATAAGAAAAACTTATATACTGAATTCCGGCGCTAACTACAATCCATATATATTCTGCAACAATTAATGAATCAAAAAATAACTTACAGTTAGGTCTGTAAAAGTATCATTGGAACAACTGTTTCAGCAAGCATTCCTTAAAAATATGCTAGCTAATTCATTGAAAAATAACTATCCAAGTTATTTTTTTCTCTTACAGCATCTTTGTAAGGAAGTTTAACTAGTTTTTTTTATAGAATATTTTCTCAATTAATTGATTATTTATTGCAGCTCAGTACCATCGGTTTACGTAACTTATAACTGTGGGACTTATTAATTAATTAATTAACTTTCCATATCTTCTATACTTAATCAAACGTTTTTTACTTAAAGGCTAGTGATACTCTCTAACTCCTTAAGTCGATATAGAGCAGGGATCAAATATGTAGTTCCATGGTTGAGTCGAGCGTTTTAACTGTAAAGTCACCTTTTCAACATACGGTTTTTTCTGTTCATATTTGTGTTTTAAATTTATTAGACATTGGATATATACGATTGATAGCTATCAGAATGAAAGGGATTCCTAAAATTCTCAATGATACGTGTAACACTAATGTTTAGATGCTTGCAACTTACTCATACTCTGTATTTTTAAAAGTGTGTTAAATATTCTTATATCAATAAAGAGTTAGCTATTGCTCAGTGTATTCGTCTTTTGATAGTCAGATGAACATCTTTCCATCTCTATAATTAGCTAATTACCATAGAACTCTTAATAATCATGTTATACTTGTTTTTAACAGTATAATTCTTTTTGTAATATAATTCTGTTTTTTATTAGGTCTGTGATTGGGCTGAGGGTAAAGATCGAAATCTTCGAGCATTATTATGTTCACTACCGGCCATATTATGGGATGGAGTACAATGGAATCATGTTGGTATGGCTGATCTAATAACGCGTGAACAAGTTAAACGTCAGTATCGGAAAGCTGCTCGTGTAGTTCATCCTGATAAGGTAAATTTGAATTGCTTTTGTTTCTACATGACGAAACAAGATTATTATTGTTAGATAACATCAAGTTCTGTACGTTTTGAGAAAAGTTATTCTTAAGTTAATTAAAGCATAGAATCTAAATCATACTCTTATTTTATGTATTTATTATTCTTTATATAGTGGATGAGTACATCACACGAGAATATCGCACGTCTAGTATTCGTTGAATTAAATGACGCTATGGCTGAATTTGACAAAAATTTTAACAATTCGTCAGTCAATATGAATTTTTAACATTTCTTTTGTTTTACCTCATTTCAAGTAACATTATCTATACGTTCTTGTATTTCTTCTTTATCCAACTGTGAATTTTCCTATTTATCATACAATTAACTAATTGTATCACTCTCTGAAGTCATTCCATCCTGAAAGCAAATACTTTTTTTGATGAGTTATCATAATACATCTTTTTGCTCTATCTTTTTATTCATCTATACACTGCCAGGTACCTCATCTTCTGACTGACAATCTATGTAAATCTGTGATGTAGATGATTTTGTTTCATAGATAGGAGATCAAGCATTATTTATAAATTACTATCCTTGTTTTCATTTATTATTGTTCATCGATGATGGTAATACTGGTTGTGGGCATTGGTGATATTGTTACCCGCTCTCTTTCCTTGAACTAAGTCCTTCTTATCCATTTGTCTCCCCATTTTTATTTGTTTTTCTCATATGATCACGAAGTATTACCATTATTATCAGATTTTGTCCAGTTTTTTTCTCATGATTTTTGTCACAATGATGTCATACATCATCATTTGTAATACAAAGAACAAAGAGAAGAGAAAATTTTTCTGTTTGTTTATTTAAATAGTGCAATACAAGCGCCTGTCATAAAAAACATTCTTTTGTGCTTACATTCACATGGGATTTGTATATAGTTTAGTTTCGACGATGTACTCGTTGTTGTTATTTAGTTAGTGGTGATATTATTTCTATTGCTGGTTTGCAGGAAAAACAAAGCTGACAAACAAAAAAAAATTAGTTTTCCAGTTTAGTAAAATAACAGTTCTACACTTAAAAAATTGTTATTATTCCTACTTATCAGTAAAATATATATCTTTTGTTTTCTTGGATTTTCTTCTCCCACCTCTCATCGTTAGTTTATTATTCATCTGAATATCAATATACTTTCACGATACATTTGTTTAGTTCCAAACAATTATTCGACTGCTTCGTCTTCTAACATTGTCGTTATCAATATCTTTATCATTATTTTAATAAAGAAAATGATAATAATCGTCCATAAATGTTTTCTTTATCTCATCTTATGCTATAGCATCATAGTGGATCAGATCAGAGTGTCTGTGTGTGTGTGTGTTTGTATATACAGTTCAGTTTCATTGATTGATTACATAGCTTTAATTGTAATCTCGCTCTTTTATGAGTCGATAAATTCGATAGGACTACTCAAACATATGTAAAACAATATATAAATAATGAGTGTATTGAGAATAATATATTTTTCCAAAAAATCAATAAGAATTAGTTGATAAAAGGTACTTTTATACTCACAAGTTTGAAATGTTAAAAATATGTATATCAGAGTAAGTTTGATTCCAGTGCACTGGAACTCCTGTCTTTAGTTTTTTAAGGTAGCCACTTATTATGCGTAAATTCAGTTGAGTATTGTGTTATAAAAGAATATGGCTAGACTAAGAAGCATCGTGTCTAAAACTAAATTAGGGTTATAAAACTTGTTTGTTTATTTTTTTTCAACGAACTGAATAGTGAGTATTTGTGGATATCTTTCCAAAGTTAATATTCTTTATGCGAATGTCTCAGTATCATTCTTGAAAAGTAATTTCAGTCTAGAGCATATTGAAATTAGTATGTTTATTTACGAAAATAAGTAACAATAATGCATGTATTAAATTTTAAAGTTAAATTTAGTTATTTGGTGACTGAAGACACACCACGTGTGCTTAGATTAAAGTACATGGAGAATATTATTACTGTAAAGAATCTTATAAATGTGTTGTGAAGGGAAACAGGTAGGTACAATCAATGCATTTCAATACAAAATTACAGAAGTCTTTCATCAAATGTGAAAAACCATATGTTCAATACTTCATTTGCAAATCTTCCATCGATTATCTCAAACTTCATTGTTCCTCCATTGGTATAACAATTACTGCCTATATCCGTTCTCTTAGATTCGATCTTCCCAACATTCTGCTGCCAGTCATTCCACTCCTGATTGATGTTATGTACTACTTACGTCAACTTAAGTAGCATACACCACAAATGTTTCATTAATATTTAACAAATAAGTTTTAAATGGTGTAAAATGTTGAATATTTTCTAGGGATTTACAGAGCTTAGCATCGGCCTGCAGTTTTTCTACTATTTTTTGGTGAATATAAAATTATGATTCGAATTGTTGAGTATTTATGGAGATTACTGAATAGTTTATGAAGTTATGTGTTAACAGTGTATATAGGTTAGTGAATACACCTAGATATTCCTGTTCGCAATTGTAAAATATTTGAAACGATTACAAATTTCTCTCAGAAATCTAGGCAAAAATAATAATTTGTGAAAGAATTCTAGTTCTTATTGGCATTGACAAATGGCAAATGTAAAATGTTATAACGGACGAACTACTCTATGAATCGTCACGAATTTAATCTATTCCTTTAGTTCATATTTATGTGACCGAGTGGTGAGTGCTTTTAAAGAGAAAATTATTCATAAAATCCCCTCGTCCTCAATAGACGAATATCAGTAGACAGAATAAAATAAAAACGAGTTATTTCGTGTCGGTACTAAAATCACATAATTATTTACCAAATATTTAATACAAAATAAACATGAATACAATTCATTCAAAATGTAAATGATTGTAAGATTCCTACTTCGTACGTCATTCATTGACCTTAGATATTAAGACCTGACGACCAAATTTACTTATCACCCGTCATAACACAAGAAAAAGTGCAGTTTACAGATACTTTGACCAGACCAAAAGAACGTAATCGTCAAGCGATTGGGTTATGTAGGATATTGTGGCCCACTTGCGAAACGTTACTGAATGCTGTATAATTAAGCCGATAGAAACTAAAGGTTAACCAGGAAGCAACAATGAAATAGCTTGTACATTAGTTGACTGTTGGTATTGATTGTTGTATTTAGCGGTTGTTCTTTAGTGAACAGTAACACCAGTGGGGACAATCGAGTGTATTTGAACACGAAATTACAGAGCATCTCACTAAAATCTGAGAACCATGTAAATCGTTAATTTGCAAAATATTGATCCATCATCTCAAACTTGACTGTTTCTGTTGCAAACATCAATCCATTGTTTCAGATTTCACTGTTCATGCGTTTTCATACCAATTGCGTCCCGTTTCCGTTCTTTCCTTCTCGATCTTCTACTGAAATACATCCTATGCCTGACCATCGTTATATACTACTTATATGAATATAAGTAATCCACACCACAATCCGATCTTGATTTACAGGCTTCATGCATACGAGCACAACCAGCTATTTGGAAATATCAAGGACAACTGAGAAGCTTTATTGAAAAACCTTAGTCAAAGTTTCTACACAAGCTTATTCATATCTCAGATAATAAATCCAAAACTGAACTCCTCTTATCCGATCTCCATCTTCCTAAGAACATTTTTATTTATTTGAAATCTATTCTGTCGCGAAGTATGTCAACTTCGAACATAGGGCGGTGAACTCGACGGAGTGGTCGAGTTTGCCTATCGTGATGAACCAATCGGGCTTTGCCATGCCATGCAGATCCGTCGAAGAACGTTAAGACTGAAGGCAGCAAACCCAAGATCCGCAGGTGAAGTCGTACTATTGTTTCTATTGAGGTGTGACGGCAGTAAGGTCTTTTGCTCAGATAACCAACATAATAGCGATACTGCCTTCCCACAAAGGAAGGGTTAGTTTAGAAAAGGTGAACCCTAAAAATGCACTATTGACCTTGTCATATGGATATCCGTCTCAGGCGGTAAGGTCTCACCAAGTACGGAAGTAACACGAAAATTACCCACAAAAATGTGTGTGACCGCCCTCAAGCAGTTGTCCCTTGGGCATTGCGGTCACGTTCTCAGGTCACTAAGACCAACTTTAACCTATTTTTCTTTTCAGGCACTTCTCTCTCTAAAGCGGTAAACAGTCCTTTTTCCATCGTTTCATGTTCCACACCTACTAAGTTTATGGTAATTAGGCCGATCAAAACATTGTCTTATCTAACGGGACATGTGTATAGTATTTGCTCTCGTTGATAGTTTTAACATTTATTTGTAATATTTGCATATTCATTATGATGATTGATTGGAAATTGGTGTGCTTCCTAAGTTTTAAATATCAAAGTATGTAAAATGTCGGTAAATAATTTTTTGATTGAGATCATGAACCGATTGATGTTCGACCACCACCTTTGGAAACCTGGAAGCACTGGACGGCCGTCTCGTCCTATTGTGGGACTCCTCAGCAGTGCGCATCCACGATCCCACTCGCGGGATTCGAACCCAGGGCCTTCGGTCTCGCGCGCGAACGCTTAACCAACTGGACCACTGAGCCGGCATCCAATGGTGATAGTGTCTAACATCAACCAATCCACGAAATTGCGCGACCAACTTCCATTGTACTGAGGTAGATACCTGTCTCTACCCGGCATGGATTAGCTCCACTGATCACGGCTTCTCACTAGAACTCCGAGAATTCCCTCACGAAGCTGGTCACTAGTGAGCACATGTTGATTACTAGTATAGGATGAAACGGCCGTCCAGTGCTTCCAAGTTTCCGAAGGTGATGGTCTAACATCAATCGGTTCATGATCTCAATCAAAAACTTAATAGTCTCCACAACCCCTGTACCAGTAAATAATTTTTTTGTTTATCTCATAGACAGACATTGTAGTCTTTTCTTTTAAATCTACTTTATCATTCGGTATCCTGTTCTGTTCATCATTTAAATTTAGTGAACTTTACTCTTCTCTTATAAGTAATTCCGGACTATTCTGGTTTATTCTACTATAATTATACTAACTTAGTTGATTGATTTTTTCATACCCTGTTCCTTAAATAACCTTGTCGCTATTTCTTCCTTCAAATATGTATTTCTTTGCATTTGACCCATATATTTATTTAAACTTGAGAAAAAAAATTTCTTTTCTTTATATGATTGAAATCAGTTAGTTAATTGAATGAATTCGATAAGCAAATAATTAATTTAACTTAATTGTAATAGAATAATTAGTGGTTT